CAAAATGTTAACATCAGTTCTCAGTTGTGACTTTCTCTTCTTCAAAATGATTGGTATGTTCCAAGTCGTGTAAAATGGACATGAATGGCTTCTACAAATATTAATTCAAGTTGTACCAAATTGTCAATATTCAGTCATTTATGACTATAAAAATGGTGATTTCATATGATACAATCAATAGAAAAAATTATTTTTAAAAATATGGGGCTGCTTTAAGATCAATAAAAGTATTCCTAACTTTTGACCCCAGTTATTTTATTTCTTTGGGCTCTTTCCTTTAGGAAAGAATCCAAAATGTGGATATGGATTTATCTACCAAGTGTTCATGGCAGAGTAAATTACAATGGCAAAAGGTGGAAAAATCTAAATGCTTAGAAGTAAGGGAGTTGATGGAATACTAGACAGACATTTTAACCCATATTTGGAAGACATTCAAGTGACATGCAATCTAATGTTAAGGGGGGACAAAGCAAGATGCATGATTATATACACAGTGTTATGTCCACACATAAAATAATGCATTGTGTTTGCACACCCATATTCATACAGCCTTATTCACAATAGCTAAAATGTGGAAGCATCCAACCATCCATTGATAGATGACTGAATAAGCAAACTGGCCTATACAAACAAGGGACTATTATTCAGACTTAAAAGTAGGAAATTCTGACACACTCTACAACATGGACGAACCTAGAGCTCAGTGAAGTAAGTCACAAAAAAATACTGTACGATTCTATTTATATGAGCCTAAAGTAATCAAAATCACCGAGATAGAAAGTAGAAAGGTGGTCAGTAGGGGCTGGAGAGAGTTAGGAATGGAGAGTTAATATTGAAATTGGGGCAGAGTTGTAGTTTTGCAAAATGAAAAGAATTCTGGAGATGGATGGTGGTGAGGGTTGCACAACAATGTGAATGGACTTAACACCACTGAACTATGTACTTAAAAATGGTTAAGAGGGTATAAGTTTTATGTGATGTGTATTTTACCACAACAAAAGTAGCAGGGGTAAATGCATTAAAAATAGGAAAAAAAGAACTCCAAGGCAGTGTGGCACATGGAAAGAGCATCAGCTTTGAAGCTGAACTTGCCTGGCGTCCACACCTGCTGAGGAGGCGGGATGAGTACCTGACCTGCGGAGCCTGTTTGCCTGTGAAGTGAAGACTGTCCCCTCTCTCAGGAAGAGATGCATGGGCAGGGCCCAGAGCACAGTCAGCTTGTTCTTGCCGTCACACACCATCAGGGTAAGTTTAGATTACTGTTTTCTTTTTTATATTTTCCTGTATTTTCCAAAATTTGCACAATGACTATGTATTTTTTTTTAAATCAGGAAAAAGCATAATCATTGAAAATAGTGAGGGTTACCATAAACAGGGAGAAAGACATCACAAACCAGGAGAAGGTATTTGCAACTCACAAACCAATGGAGTGCCAGAATCCTTTCAGGTAATTCACAATGAAACCTGAATGGCTGATGGCATATAAAAATGTTCAACCTTACTAATATTCAGATTGGCAGAAATTGCACATCTGACCAAGAGTTAGCTGGGATGTGGAGCGTCAGGAACCCTCAGGCAGGGCTGATGGGAGTGTATGTTATTGGTGCAAACTACCTTGGTGGTATCAGGAAGGTCAAACGTGCACCCACCCTCCGGCCCAGCTGCAGCCCCCGCGGGCACACAGGGGGCCGGACACAGAAGGCTGACGGTGCTTGTCTGTGATGGAGAACACCGCAAACCACCTGCATGTTCATTAGTAGAAGGATGATAACCGAAAGGGCTATGCTCAATCAATAGACTATATTCACTAATTTTACAGAAGCCTAAGGGAATGAACTCAAGCCAATGCAATACCATGGATAAATATCTTAAACGCATGGCAGTAAGCAAGGAAACACAGTGCTGAAGACACCTATCGATATAGCACCATTTATATAAAGTTTTAAAACATGCAACATAACAGTACAGATTGTTCAGGAATGTCCATCTAAATGGCAGAGATGAAAAAAAATCACAGTCTCCTGAGGAGATGATACAGTGCTTAGGGGCCTAGAATCAGAGCTGGACTTCGTGGGTTCACAGATCAGCTCTACCACTTACCATCGGGGTGACCACGGACAAACCGCTCAAAGTGTCTGTGCCTCAGGGTCCTCACCTACAAGGGGGGATATTAACAGTGTGGGTCTCACAGCAGGATCAGAAGGGCTGCACGCGTCACACATAAAGGACTAAGAGCGGTGCCGCCCTCAGAAAGCTCTGTGCTGCTGCTGTCATGACTGCTATAATGTTGGCACTCTAGTGGTCTCGCTTCCTAGATCAGTGATCAAGGGTTTATGAACTTAGGTGTTCATTATACATAAAAGCGTGCAATTAGAAATGACCTAAGTGTCCAGCTACAGGGGGACAGTTAAATACAATTGGTACAAGCTGGCTGTGAGTCTGCTGTGGAATTTGTTTAGGATTTTTCATGCGTTTACTTTCATCTCCCTTTCCGTGAAGGCAGGGACCATGGCCCTGTGTGTCCAGTCTCACTCAGCACAGAATGGTAATCGAAGAAATCTGGGTTGTCTGAAAGTAGATTGTAACTGTTGCTAATGATGTTAGTCTATTTACATTTAGGGACTGAGAAACAGACTAAGAATAAACAGTGTGTGCAGCCAGAGAGGCAGTCCCGGGAAGGAACAAGAGCCCTGAGGTCAGCCATGCACCCTCCTCCAGGAAGCCCTCCCTGACTTTTCCAGCAACATTTCCTCCTGCTTAGCTGCCTCTGTTGAAGCCCACTATCTCCACGCTTTACTTCTCTGGACACCAGATTACTTTCAGGGACCTAAGATTCCTGAGAACTCTAAAACAACCAGACAAAAGCAAGCTCCCAAACGTCTTTGAAAATAATTAAAGAACTTAAAACTTTGCAATAAAATAAAGGATACATATTTACCTTCCAATACTCCATATGTAGAATTTATACAAATTTTTCATTTAGAATGAGCTAATTATGTAAGGTGATTGCCAGCTTACCTGATACAGGTTTAATCAATTACCCATTTTGCAAAAACTAATTTTAGCCCATTTTCAAAATGAGATGCTTATGTGCTACAGACATAAAAACTGCTTACCTCTTCAAGGAAACAGTTGAAGTTCTGGAGAAAATACTTCCAATTTATAACGGGGGTTAGATGGATTTTCAGTTTTCTCAAAAAGTAACGATACTGATTATCCGTTAGTTTGGAATAGAAGTCCTTGAGAACTTGTCTAAAATCTGAAGCCTTTACAAATCCAGTGTCCTCTTTATCCAATTCAGAAAATGCCTTAAAAAAAAAAAGGCAGATGCTGTCAAGTGAATATTTCAGAAATATTTTTCTTATGTATTGCATTCCTGAATGCAAATGTAATCAAGTGTATGTGTGCCGGTGCCCTGTAAACTCTGAACTGGTTACTAAATGCCCTGTGACTGCATGACCGAGACAGGCTAGCTGGGCCCAGGGCAAGAGCAGGGGCACAGGAAAGGGCTTGTTTACTCCTGTTTAATACAAAGAGGCAGGGCAACGAGGAGGAGCCGGGGCCCCCATGCTGCAAGGGAAACCCCGGAGCTGCCCCTGATGGGGGCGGTGAAGCAGCCCAAGCCCCTTGATCACCGCATTCTAGCATCTTTGAGCATAAATCACTTATCAGGGGAGACCTAGCGGCGGGGGGCAGCGTCTCGGGGTAGGAGTCTGCGTTGAAGAGGCCGGGAGGACGGGGCAAGGGGGCCTGTACCCTGAGGCTGCTGCCCTTTCCCACGGGGGCCGAAGGCCCTGAGGCCACGCCTGACCGGGAGACCCTGAAGGCACCCAGGCAGACACTGCTGGCCAACAGCACAGCAGTCAGGCTGAGAAAGTGCAAAAATGTGCTACAAAAGGAAAATATGTTCTTTTCCATCTGATGAAACAAAATCATTCATTTTTATTTCACTAGGGAATCTGTATCAAGTGGTAGGTTTAGAACTTTTTTTTAAAAGTAAGACTTTAATGTGTTGCAGACCCAAAACCAAATTCCCTTGTGGCTAAGTCTCATTTGAGGCTATTAGGGGTCCCCCTTTAGCCCATGGGGCCAGTGATATACGGGTGACCAAATTTACCTTCAAGTACCATCTGGCCTCAAGTGTTTATTCAGCCTATGTTACGACTCAGCTGTATGCCACGGAAAAGTTCGGGTCACACTGACAGGAAGTGGACTGAACCTTAGCTGTGGTGCCCACCACAAGCCCTTAGCCTTTCTGAGCTTAGCATTTGATATAGAAAGAGGGGCTTCCTTACTCAGGCTATGCTCAGGGGACTAGAGGCAGCCATGGTTCAGCTCTCTACGGCCGGGAACCCACTCTGCCCTGGGTCTGTGTGGCTTCCCCGGCTGTCAGTCCACCCACCAAGCCACAGGGAGGATGGAAAAAGCAAATGTGAAAAGACTTAGGAATCTATAAAACACTCAAGGTACATTTGAGCCACGTCTCTAATGTGCAGAAATGCATCGGCATGTCTGCTGTCGTCCCCGATGGCTGTCCTTAGATATCTCCATTCCTTCCTCTCCTCGTTGCCTCAAATGCCCTCTCTCCTTACAATCCATCTGCCGTTCTCTTGGCCAGAGAATCTCACTCTCTCAAGCAGTCAGCTCCTGATGGATGTTAAGTGGTGCCACTTTGAGTTAGAAAGGGGTGAAGCCATCCTGCAAATAGATTTATTTGGCCTGCATAGTACTTTTGAAAAAGCTGAACTGTGAGCTGACATTTAGAAATCAGGAGGTTTTATAGCTTCTCATAAAAAAACAAGAAGCTCTAGCAAAGGGGGCCCATCTCCAGGTCAGCAGCAGGCAGCCAGGGCCGAGGAGAAGCTGCCCTGCAGAGGGGGCCGTGTCTTTGCTCGCCGCAGCCCCTGCCCGGCCCCTTCTCTGTCTCTTCTCCTCCTGGTCCTTGAGCACATCTGAGTTTGCAGCCCTTACTAGGTGACACTGGGGCCAGGGCCGCCTCAAGCGGGAGCTCTGGTGTTGAAAGGTGTCTCAATGGTTTTCTAGATGACCTGTGTTCACACCAATTCTTTAGATAATCATTAAAGAAACATGAGTGTTAAATCCTCATACAGAACTCAGACATGTGCAAAATGTCTGCTGCTCAGGATGAAGGCTGAGTTCTTAGTATTCCAGAACTTTCACAGGCTGACTGGGCCACACTTGGCTTTCCCCATGGCCCCCCATGAGTCCTTTATGCTTGGACACCGAAGCCCACCTTGCCTCTCCACACTGAGGGGTTTCTTCACTCCAGGGACTCAGTGAACGTAGTCCTGGACTTTCAGGTGGGTCTGTAGGTCTGCATATTTCAGACATGAAGACAGTCCTGCTCTGACTGTGGTGTTTGGGCTCTGCGTGCCCAGCATTGCCATGAGATGCTCTGGATTTGTGTGTCATTAAACTGCAAGGCCTGCCCTCTCCTTGCTGCTGCTGCAGGGGGAACTCACATATGGACCCATCGGGGGGACCGCCACCTGGCCAGGAGCACGGCCACAGCACTGTGTCCTGAGGACTCTGGCACTGGCCGTCAGCCCACATGTGCCAGAGCTTGGCATGCTCTACAGTGTCATATAGATACCAGCTGTAAAATGTCACTGTGCCCGGGACCCCCTTGTACCCTCTCCCCTGGCTCCTGGCTGTGTTCACAGGAGTCTTTGTGCTACAGCCAGGCCCTTGCCAGCCTTTTGAAGGTCACACATCTCCATGGGACTGGTGCTCATGGGATGTGCCCAACTGCTCTCACCTGAGGGCTTCTGTCTTCTGCCTTCTGTGCTGGGAACCCCTTGCCCTCAGTCAAGACCCAGCGTTCACTAACACTGGGCACTTGTGCCTAAGAACACATGCTGGTGTGCAATAATGGTAGCTCTTTATGGATCAAAAAAGGATACACATTTGCTCAAATGAACAGTTTGATCCTGACTGACTCATCTGACTTCTGACATCCCAAGGAAAGTAGGGAGAGGTGGAAGGGGACCCAGAGGAGGGGGAGGCCTGACAGCTATTTTTCATGAATTGAAATGAGTACCAGAACTTCAGTTTGCACAATAAAAGCATGTTTTGGTCTGTCATACCGTTGACAAAGCCAGATCAGAGGAGGCAACCACTTCCTGGATGCTTTTCACAATCTCTAGATTTAGGGTGGCAAAATTGACTGGCATACTGTCTTCTTTTTCTTTTGGCTGAGGTCTTGTTGGTTGGCTGTTCTCCACCCTTCTCAAGAAGTCAAGGTAATTGACACAGTTATCACGCCAGCTGATTCCCCAACTTGTCCCAAAAGAAAGAAAAGAATATATTAATAAAAAAGCGCCCCAACACTTATTCATTTAGCAAACAGTTGCTGAGAAGAGAATCATGCGGACACCATGAATAATGTTTAGAAATTGTTCTCTGGCCAGTAGGTGTGTGCACGCCAATGGGCTATGACAGTAGACAGGCACTCACAGATGCTCAAGCTAAGGGGGCAAGGTAAGGGCTAAGTGAGCATACAGGGCCACTGCCAGCTGGCGGGGCCACACACTGCCCTGCCCTGAAGTTCTTCGACTTGAAAGCTGGCTAACGGGGCTCAGCGCTTTGGAGAGCAGCAGACAGAAAGAGGAGGCCTGCCTAAGGAACCCGATCCTGTGACGAGGGCAGAGGAAGGTGCTGCAGCAGAGACGTGATACCTGCAGAGCAGTATTACAGGAAGAGGCATCTGATGGTGGTCAGAGATGGTCTGGAGGCAGGACGGAAGCAGGGTGGTGCAGTGGGTGGAGGGTAGGGGCTGCAGTCATGGAGACCTTTGCAGATGTGGGCCTAGGCTGAGAAAGGCAGGGGAATTTGAAAAGGAAATCCATCCAAGACAGTGAAAAGGAAAAGAGGAACTGAGGAAAATATACATTAAATTCTTCTTCAAAAGGCACTCGAAAGATATTTCTATAAAACCTACACTGCTTAGTATTCTCTCAAATAAAAATTCCTTCTGAGTGTACATCTCAATAAGGATATCCATGTAGAAATAGAGGCTCCTTCCTGCCCTTGACTCCAGCCAAGAAGAAAATACCTTTAAATGCTAAAAGAATATATTGTGAGAGAAAATCCAAAAGTTTCGTAAGAACACTGAGCCTATTTACTAAAGATGTAAAATAATAAAGTTCAACTTCATTTAAAGTTCACATTTCTGTAATTTAAATTCCCTGGGGATTACTGGGCTTTAACACCTAAACTTTGTTTCAGCAGGAGGAACTATGTTGCAAAGAATGTGCGGAACACTGGCAAGCCAGAGAGAGAAGTTCCCAGTGACTCAGACATCTGCTTCTAAAGAGAAGCTGTACTTCTGAACCAAGAGCTGTACTTTTCCGACGGCAGCTGCAGGGCGCCCTTCCACAGACCGCACGTCGCTGGCTCATGTGACGGAGACATGGAGGGAAAGGATAATCAACTCTATTTCATCAGCAGGATGAATTGCCAAGTTGGTATTAAAATTTAGTAATAATATCAGATGCATATGCTAATCTCAGTATTATTTAGAAAAATCTATTTTGGATCTAGAAAAGAATAATCTACATATAATTACAAATAACAGAGATGTTTATCATCAAGAGATCTTTGAGAAGAAACAAGCAACTGAGCAATGGATCTTTATTAAGGTTTCAATTTGTAAGAAAGTTGATCGCCCCCATTGAAAGGTGGGCTACAGAAATTTTATAGTCCTTTTGTTGTTGTTTATAAAAGTATCAAGCCTAACTATGCTTTAACAAGACTCTCTTTTAATCATTTTGTTAATTATTTATCTGATGGTGTTTTTCTGTGATTTATTCATTGAATGCATATGAATTCTTATTCAGCTGGACATGAAGTGAGGGGAGACTGTTTAAGAAACAAGTGGACATATAGGCATTTGAGGGTGCAACACTCCTTCACACACACACACACACACACACACACACACACACAGTGGCACTGGATTTCTCTCAACTCAATACAATGGAGCAATTATCCTCAAAATTTTAGGAGAAAATTTTTTTCTCCCTAGCAGTCTATGCTCAGACAAGCTAGCAATCTGTGGGGAGAATTAAAATATTTTTCAGACAAAGAACTCAGAACATTAATTTCCCATCCACCCTTTCTTAGGAAATTACTTCAGGAAGTACTCCAGCAAAATAAGAATGTAAATTAAGAAATAAAAAGATGTGGGATAGAAGAAATGGGGGTTCCAACCCTGTTGGCAAATAGTGGGGGCAGCCCAGGATGCTCTTGGGAAAGCATACCTGGGACAGGAGAATGGGGGCCAGGCTGTAGGAGGGAGGGGGCCAGGGGAAAAACCTGAGAGAACAGGAAGTGGGACAGAATGCTTGGGAAAGATGAAGGCTGACAATGCTGAATTTACCTAAGCCCTGTATTCATAGAAAACATCAATGGTTAAAGAAATCACCCTATTCTTTATGTTCCTGAAAACAGCTTGTAGCAAAGAGCCACCTTTATCCATATGACTTCAAGAAGATGAATGGGCACCCTGAGACGGGGACCATGGGTTTAGACAGAGTAGGGTGAGGGTCTCAGAAAAAAAAAGCAAAGCAGGTTAATCACAGCCAGAACAATGTAACAATGCGCAAAGAAACTCCTACCAAAACTCCCTGTTAAGCATTAAGCAAAGTCAGAGTCATATTAATTCTCTAAGGTAAAAATATCAAACTAGGAATAGAGACATTCTTCAATGAGATTAGTTAAAACTAAAAAGCCAGGAGTAATTTGGCCAGGAATGTTTCAATATCCCCCAGATAAGAAAATACCTCAGCACAGCCCATGTCTTCATTGGGTCAATGAAATCATGCTATTGTAAGATTTACTTTAGCCTGCTAAAAGGCCCAGCTTATTTCCTTTAACTTTACCTAGATACTGCTTTTCTTCCTCCAGCCCTAATCAAATAATTTGCAACCTGGGCAATTAATTTAGCAAGTAAGCCTAGTCATAAACAACATAGTAAAAACAGAAAGGATTCCATCTTAAAGATAAGATTGCATTTTAAAACCTAAGAAGTTAAAAAGTAAGTTTCTTAATGTACTCTTTAACAAACAAACAATAACTCAGCCCACCCTGGGACAGGACAGGTATTCCTGATTATATGTTCCCAGACCAAGAAGCTGCTATCCTGGGAAGGAATCAAAGTTCTCATGTTAAGCTAACTTTGCAGAATAACCTGGAGGACTGATAAGAAACTTAGTGTCTCTTCAAATATAAACATTTTGGGGCCATTTGACAGGTCTGCATCCCTAGCCCTTTGTCTCTCAACTGCCTATAAATCCCCTAGACAATGCACCACCCCAGGGCTCTCTTGTCCCCTCCTGGGGTGAGCCAGGAGCTCTGTCTTCTCACTTTATCTCTCAACAAAGCCTCTGTTTTGCTCTCCTACCTTGGGTGTTTGCTAAGTTCATTCTTTAACTCCACAAACAAGAACCCTGGCATCAACCCCAGGTTTGCCTACAATAAGGTAGACACAGAGGCTCAGGCCCAGTGCCACTGAGAAGTGCTAATTTTCATTCATTACCTGGGCCCTGAACAATATTTCATGCTCATAATTATTAAATGCTATTTAATGGTTTTTGAGTTTTAGAATCAACGTGTGAACCAAGCAGAGAGGACCTGGTGATGGCTCCAAGACAGAGATAAATTTAACTACCTTTATCCCAAAGTAAAACTGCAGTTGACAGGAGATGGGTCATGGAAGGAGCGCAGAAGGAAAGCAATAGAGAGGAGAGGGACCCTGACACCCATAGAACCTGGATGCCTCACTGTCATTCTCACAAGAAAAAAGTCAAACAAACTGAAAACCAATGGCTTTTCTTGACCCCATGAGAAAATTGAGGTCACAGGGCAAAACATCATCCTGAAATCTGGAGAGACAGGTGAATACAAAGAATCATGGCCAAGACCTGCTTTCCTGGAGGAAAAACCTTTGGAGCTGTAAGCTGGTAGGGCACTTAAATGGTAGATGGTGGAGCACTGGTGCGGACTAGTGTGTCAGGACAAAAACCCCTTGGGCTCAGTCTTAACTGCTCCCACACCTTCACGGGCATTGCCCTAGGGGTCCCAGCAGATTGTCACAGTGAACATCTGCAAACAATTCCCTTTGGCTCTGGCTGGGGAAGGGGTAAGTAATTCTTGTGAAATATGTATGCCCAGAGACTTCTCCACAACAATTTTCCAAGGAAAAAGATTTTATCAGTCTTATCTCACCTGGGGGAAGGGCAATTAGCTAACCCCAGCCCCTATGGCCTTCCTATCTCATCTGAGGAAAAAAAGCTAAGAAGCATTTCTAAAGGTTGCAGCCCAGGGACTCAAGCCCACTAAAAGACTGAGATTTAATCATAAGAATGTAGTCTTTTCCCTTCCCAATACCTTCTCACCACATCAACCCAGCTCCAGTGTAATAACTGTGGATTATAACTTGAAAAGGGGCAAACTATGGACTTTTTTCCAGGAGGAGTTCTTAGAGAAGCCTAAAGAAAATAAGAGAGACAGAAATAAGTGCAGTGGAAGAAACTGAAGACTTTGGCACTGACAGCTATAGCCATGTTAAACACAGCCCAACTCCTAACCAAATTAGCATAAAACCACACACTAAAGGCCTATTTGCCTATTACCCAATATGTCATGTCTTGCTTTCAACAACAACAAAAAACAGAAGGCGTGATAAAAGGCAAGAAAAATGTCTGAAGAGATGAAGGCAGCATGAGAACCAGTCTCAGACATGACAAATTTTGGAATTATCAGAACAGGAATTAAAAATAACTATGATTAGTATGTAAAGGACTCTAATGGGAAAAGTAGACCACACACAAGAACAAATGGATAATATAAGCAGAGAGATGGAAACTCTCAGAAGGACTCAAAAAGGCAGGAAACTACAAAACAGTCTACACTGAGGCATATGATATGCAAACTGAGGAAAACCAAAGAAAGAGAAAATCTTGAAAGAAGTTGGGGCCAGGAGGCTAATCTGTAGAGAAACAAAAATGAGAATTACATGGGTCTTCTCATAAAAATCATCAGAGCAGGAAGAGACTGGACTAGAATGTTCAGTGTTGAAAGAAAAAAAATCACCAACCTAGAATTCTATATCAAGTGAAATTATCCTTCCAAAGTGAAGGAGATATAAAAACTTTCTCAACCGAACACTGAGGGAATTTGTCACCAGTCACCTTGTTCTTCAAAAGATGCTAAAAGACATTCTTCAGAGGGAAGGAAAATGATACAGAACAGGAACTCAGATCTACATAAAGAAAGGAAGTACAAAGAGAATAAACAAAAGTAAGATAACATCTTTTTTTTTCTTATTCTTAGTTGATCTAACAGATAATTATTCAAAGTAATAAGAATGTATTGAGGAATTATAGCATATGGATAAGTGAGGTGAGTAACAGCAATGATATAAGAGATGGGAGAGAGGATTGGGTATAGTCTGTTACAAGACACCTGTACTACCTACAAAATGGCAATGTGCTACCTGAAAGTGGACATAGGCTACCTGTTATTGTGCACTGCAAATTCTAGAACAATCACTAAAACTTCTTTTAAAGGGAGGGGAGGGATGCTAATATCCTCACCTTACAAAGAGAGGACATAAAATTCATGCTCTTGGTCATGGAACATTTAGCCAGCACAGCTAAGAAATACAATAAGAAGAAACTGTGTGTAAAAGCAGTCAGAGTAGGAGCAATCAACTCTATATTATTTGTCTGTTAGGCAACCCTCATCTCTGAAAAATCTACCAGCCCAAAGGAAAAGTTTTAAAGTTGCTGACATTTGGGGTCCTTCAGGGAAACTATCTGCCAGATATTCTAACAAAGTAGCTCAGAGTCAACAAATTCTACCTGTGTGTGCAGAACTTCTAATCTGCTTCATAGTATCTCACTCTTAATATAAGCATATTTTTGAGGACAATGTCTAACATGAAAGATAGTAAAAGCAACACTGAGGAAAGACTTCTCAGGTAAAGGAAACTTAAAAACAATCTATTGTTAATTTCTTCAGAGAAATTAGGTAATGCACCCATGTTTCTGAAATAATAACAGGATGCTCTAAAAAGGAACATTCTGAAAACAAAAACAAGCCTTTGTAATTAAAAATATGATAAGTATGAAAGCATAAACAAAAATCTCTAAAGAAGGATTGGGAGCTAAAATTAAGAAAATGTCCCAGAAGCTAAAGAAGAACAGATGGAAGATAGGCAGATTTAAAAATATAAGAAAACATTCTAGGTGGTTCAATATTCAACAGAAATAGAAGCTTCCAAGAGAAAAGAACAGGAGAGGAACCCCATTAATGAAATAATACAAGAAAACTTCTGAGAATTGAAAAATGCAAAATAGGCCATCCCAGAAGATGAAGCTGACAGATTAGCTGATGTCTCTCAACACAGTAGAAAGAGATTTCACAAGTGTGGGTAAATTGGGGGTTTAATTAGTACATCGTAAACTAAGCAAATAGAAAAAAGATAGCATCATTATTAATTCCAAGAAAAACAAAATGCCAAATTTTGTTATCCAAAACAAAATTTTGTAACTCCATAAACAAAAAAAGGACAGGAAAGGGGATCAGCCAATGACAATAAAATAAATCCTGAATGTTCATCTCCCCAGTATTGTGATGAGCAGTAGTGGGGCCCACAGAGATAAGTCTGTGTGTGTTTCCACGGTGGGGTGGCTGAGGGACAGAGGCGTTGGCAGAATGTGACGTGCGAAAGAGTTGAATCCATGTATCTTCCTGGTAGGAAATAAACTATCAGGAAGCGGCTATGCAAACCTGCCACTTAGAAACATGGAATTAAGTACCAAAAGATACCCATTAAAAGTTCTAGAAGTTGTTACCTCTGGGGAGGGGGACATAAGGAGAGCGGCAGAGGAAGGGGCCGCTGTTTCTCATGAGCTTTGTAGGACTAGCTGACTCCTGCCAGAGCATTTTGGTGACTCGGGTAAAATATAAACTAATGTTTATGTTAAATGATAATTATGCTGCTGAGGAAAGGAAAACGTATGCATTTGTTAAGTGGCTTTCTCTTTTTTGCCTTGGGTTGACTAAAACCCATTTTAATGTAGCTGGTCAAAGGAGTATGTGGAGGTTATTTTATATTGAAAGGTTGTTTGAGTGGACATGGGAGGAGAAAGGAAAGCAACGTGCCCGCTCATTTCTCAGTGCTCTGAGGAACACAGTTAACCAAGTCCAAGAAAACCTGTCGAGAAGATTGGCCAGCTCCTTTTCCTTGAGAGAACAGCCACAGGCCTGCAGCGCTTGCTGCATCTTGCACAGGGATGTGGAGCCATTTTTAGAGGTGTCTACTTGGGTGAGTGCTTTGCTGATGTCATGATAACGGTCCTCGAGCTTGTCCCTGCAAGAGAATACATTTTAGAGATGCACTAAGTCGAGGAAAACAAATAACTTCTTTAAAGCAAGAGTTTTGTGATCATTCTAATGTGACGATTTGCTGGTTCATCTAAGAACTGATTTTGAACACGTTTTGCAGCCTTGGTGTAATATTTACATTAAAAAGGGATTCTGGGAAAAAATAATGCCTATACCATTATCATTTTATTATCATATTACACATAGCAACACTACATTTTTGAAAAATTACAACCTTGTCATTTTACTAGAACTGGGACTTTAAAAATGGAACCCAGAATTAAGAAATATAGTGGTATTACAGACATGTGAAATACACCTTCATTCTCTCAATGAAGGCTCGCTGAGTGCCTATCATGTGCTCTAGGTGTCTTCTCTAGGTGCCAGATGCATCTGGGGAATCAAACAGGCCCTCCTAGAAGGGTTTACATTCCAGCAAGGGCAGGGACGACGATAAACGGAAGACATGAGCACACTGCACAGTGGGTGAGCAGGTTAGTAGAGACCCCGTGAGAGTGGCTGCAGTGCCCACTGGGAGGCCTCACTGGGAAGGTGACACCTAAGCCGAGACTGGGAAGTGAAGGATTCAGCAGGGAGACCCACCCCCTGGCCCAGGGACAGGTAGAAGTGTAGGCAGTGAGGAAGGCAAAGAAGCCTGCTCCTGCGTTAGCTGGGGATTGGCCATGCCCAGGGACCCCTTGCTGATTATCAGGTACTGTGTTGTAAAGAAACACAGCCACCATTTGTGTGCATTGACTAGCAAAACAGGAATGTGTTGCTGTCTTCATGTACATTCTCTCGTTAATTCTTCTCAACCTGTGAGGGAGGTTGGTAACTGCCCGCCCCGTTTTGTAGACAAGGAATAAGCGGGAGCCTGGCCCTGTGCCGGCAGCAGGCCCTACCAGGCCTTACCCTCACGGGGACAGGCAAGGGTCCCCTGGAGATCCCACTCGCGGGCTGATTTTCTGGCAGAACATGTTCAAGTCTCTAAGATTTCATTTTTTAGGAAAATTCTTCCCCGACAAAAAAGTTATTGTTAAGGGACTAAAAAAGTGCGGGAATCTTTAAGAATGAACAATTGTGCACTTGATATGTGGTGGATTGATTATAAATTCCATAACCTTGGCTCACCCAGGTCTCTACAAAAGCTCTTCCTACCACACTGAGCAACATGTTTGTCTGACAGGCTCAGACTCGAGCTCGGCTATAGGTTCTTCCTCAGGGAAAGGAATATGCTAGAAATTCCGAATGTGAAATCTTTGCTGGTAATTGTCTACCACTTCAGATATGAATTTGTGGAGAGGACACGTCCTTGAGCATGCCTGGAAAAAACAATCCGCAGGAACAGAAAAGCCAGAAATCGAGAAGAGAGGATGTCAAATGGTGGGAATATTCAGGGCCGGAGTGGGGTGGCATCGACTCTGGCCCCACGGGTCACCTGCTCCCTTCACTCACTAGCCTCTAATTCAGAGCTGGCTGACAGGAGCATTTGAGCAACTGATACGAAAGAGTTGCACTAAGTGTTCCCGAGTGTGTACCAACAGCAACATCATTTTGGATTCCCTTACAGGTGTACGTTGAATTCAGCCCCTTGCTACAAAATGATTATTGTCATCACAGCTATTATATTCTATTTAATCCTTCAAAATGAAAGCAAATGAAGGTATAATAAAATCAAAACATATTTTTTGAAAATTGAGGCATTCAGTATTTCTGGGGCTGGTTTCTAGGCAGCAACGATTTCTCTTTCAGAGTAAATATGTACACAGGGTAAATGAGGGTTTAGAGCACAGATCCCGCCATACTCCAAACAGAAGCGGTGTTCGCTGACACTCAGGGACAAGCAGCTGCTGCTTTGGGTCCATGTCCAGATCCCGGTCTGGGCAAGTCTGCAGGGGGCCGTGTCGTGCCAGTGGGATGGCCCCGGAGCCCCTGCCGCACACCGTCTCTCCGGGCCGAGCTCGGCTGGCACGCTCCGGGGCTCTGCCCGCTTTTTTCGCAAGCCTCTCAGTGTGTGTGTTAGATGGGCCTGTCTCGTACGGCTAGCTCGCTACCGCGGCTCCGACTCTGCATCTTCAACTCAGACTCGGGCAAATGAATAAGGCATGGAAAATACATGTGAGTCTAAAAAAAAAAGATTTTTCTTTATTTTTAAAACGTATTTAGGGCCCTCCAAACAAAATAAGTTCTTTAGATTTAAGCGGCATATATAAAATTTTGGTCAGTTTAACGAACATGACTCCCAGCTATTTTATCAGAGTTTCAGTAGAAATGAGGCCCAAAATTCTGGAAGCGCTGGATCTTAGGAATTATCTGGAAGACCCACTGATACCAAAATTTAAAAGCAGGCCATCCAGAAGGGCAAAGTTACTTGACAAGTTCACAATCTGCCGCCTGCGAGAAAGCAGAAGCTGGCCGAGCATTTTTATGGACTCAGCCTTGTCATGTTTGGCGAGAGAGTACGTGAGGTGAAGAAGACGTGCTGAGTGTGAATCAGTGAACTGCGCTCGGGGATCTGGCAGGGGCCGGCTGGCGGCACGTCCCCGCTCGCACAATAAACAGGAACATGGGAAGAGAAAGAATGGGCTGTACAGGGCCGAGGATATGAGCTTTTGTTCCGAGTCTCATTACTCACAAGTGGCAGGAGGGAAGAGAAGGGAAGACACGAGTGGGTAATGACGCCAGCCAGGCCTGTCTGCTAAAGATAAATTCCACTTTTTCATTAGTTTTGTGGCATATTTGATTTATACCAGTTTTGTGAACATTTTTACTTTAAACTTCACAAACTCAATTCTCTGCCTTCAGGCTTTGTAACTCAGTGACTTAGACATAATTCAGGGGTGTGTTTGAACTGCTTTTCCCTTAAACCCCATTCAGCCATTGCAGCTGTCCTGGGCCCTTGGAGTACTCAGTTCCTTGGGGATTCTTGAGAGACAACTCATTCACTTGGTCAAGTCCTGTTTGAGGTGGTGGGGATAGAGGGCTGAGATGACAGACAGGAGACAGATCACAGCAACATGGGGCTTAGGCAGAGTGATGGAGCGATGAGCAGTCCCAGGCGTGGGGAGTCCCAGGCTGATGGGCGACCTCTGAGGACAGACTGATCAAGAAAATCTGTCCCGTTGCTTTATGGTCACACCAAGTCATTTTGTCCTATGTCATACATTTTTAAACTAGGACATTAGGAACTAGTTTTAAACTTTGAAAAGAATCATGTCCAGTCTTACCATCCAAATACAACATGTTCCCTTTTGCACAGCATCTTCTGGCCCTTGTGGACACGCACAGACCTTGACATGGCTCCCATCACAGTGTGCATACTGCTTAAAATGCCACTGCCAGCTAGCCTTTTACCACACACCTTCCCCACAGCCTTCATGGTGATACCTGTACCAGGTGTGTGCCATGTCACATCCTGTGGGGCTGCACTGCATAGCCGGTGCTGGCATGGCGATTGGCAGCTGCCTCTTCCCTTGCTACTGTTGAGGACACACTGCAAGTCGTACCTTCTGGCTGCTAAACTATTGGCCTCCCTCACTTCCTTTTTGGGGATCAAGTCTCCAAAGTAGAAGGACTGAGTTAAAGACTATGCATGTCCATTCATTCATTCAACAAATATTCACTGGGGGCCTATTAAGGGTCAGGCTCCATTCTGCACCAGTTAATACAGACATCTCCCTATGGAACTTGCATTCCAGGTGCTTAGGTTAGTAAACACCTAAAAGGGACAATTCTCAAGGGTGACCAAAAATATGAATGAACCGAGAGCGTGACTGGGTAAGGGGAAGTGGGCTCACAGCTCTTTAACTCCTTTAGAGCTCTGTGACTTAACGCCAATTTCCAGAATCCACAGCAGTGAACGAGCACTCTGATTTCATGATAACTTTGCCAGCATTGGGAGATACCACTTTAAAACAATGTCTGCTGCAAGGTCAATCGTACAGCAGAGGCCCAGCTCAGGTCCCGGAGTGCTTATCCACTCACCTGGCTGGCCCAGCATTCTCTGGGCCCTGCTGCAGCTCTCTGATCTCTGCTTGTACCTGTTGTGGCTTAGTGAAGTGGCCCATGAAGTTGAAATTATCCTCTGCAAAGGGCCGAGGAATATCCGCTGAATAGTTAATCCCCAATTTCTGTACAAATTCTTGGTAAGTTATGTGGCCTCTGCCCTCAGTGTCAAAGCTTCAAAGACAAACAAAACTCTCATCAGTAGCTGCCCAGGTGTGTCTGTGAGGGGCTCAGAGCCTCCGTGAGGGGCTTGGTGAGGGGTTCGCTGCCCTCTGTGAGGGGCTCAGGAGTTGCTCTTCACTCAGTGTCCGCCTCCCCTCAGGGAGTCAGAAGTACAGAAGCTCAGGCCTCACCCCAGACCTGGTAGAATCTGTACTCAGCAAGAGCCCCCGTGATTCCCCGGCTCGTCCAAGTCTGAGGTCCAGGCCTCTAATCAGCAGAACCACTGCCCCCATAAGGTGGTCTTGGTCACCCCAAGAGACAGCAACCAAATTCATTAACCTGCCATTCTGTTAGCAACACAGTTGTGACCATAGAAAATAAAAATCAACCTTCCATTCATTTGACACGCTCTTACTGAACAGCTAACAGGTAAGAGGAACTTTGTGAACGTTTAGAAAAAAGTCCTTTAGAAAGCATATTCAACCTTAAAACTCCAATAAGTGAATGCCACTTGATTTGAATTCCCCATTTTCTCTCTGAAGAGATGCCAATTACATACAACCAAGGAGAGACGAGTAAGGAAAACAAGATAAGAATTATGCTATGTACCTTTTATGTCATTTTCTATTATTGAGATGTTTCAGAATTATAATTCATTAAAAAAGGCATAATGGAGGGTTTTTATCTCCCAACATTATTCACATAGAATAGAATTACTTCAATAAAAAGTTTTAAGGCAAATTGCCAATTTTCTTTAAAGAAAGAAAGCATTTATTTTTACGGAAAGGTCTTGGTCCTCATCTAACTGATAAAAATGGCATTTGCGGGAGAGATTTTCCCCAGATGAACTGAGCGTCACAAGGACCAGGACTATCTGCAAACAGAGGTGCGGGCAGAACCCCCCAGCAGGCTGTCGGCTGGCGGTCGTCTGGCTGGACGTGGGTACACACAGCTTGCCTCTGTGAAGCAGGGTTGTCCTCTGCTCCTTAACCCAGATGCTGAAGGTCTGCAGAGCCCCATGCTTGAGGGACACACTGAGCCCCTTTTTAATGGCTTCAACTGGGCCACAATGAAGAGAATGTAGTTACACACCCAACTTTCTTGTCCTCACAGGGTGGGGTATTGGACGAGGGGGTAGGCAGTTTGGGCAAACGCTTCATGCATTTGTACCAGTCTGCCAAGCATCCTGGGAATTGGGAAGCCGGATGGTCTTCCCCCAGGTGAAGTGGGCCTCCCCGCGAGGTGTCTACTGGAACCGAGGCCTCTTCCTCTCCCCAGTCCTCTCCTTCTGCACCCCACACGTCTGTGGCTTCCTCCCGGTGTCTGACTTCCACCTACGACTCCATCTGTGATGAAGGGAACAGGGCACCTGGGGCAAGGCTGCACCCACTCTGGGGTTCAGTGTCCTCGTCTGCGAGCCACTGCAGCCATCCCTGGTCCTAACGTCCCAGGTGGGTGCCCTGACGGCTGCTACTGTTATTACATTAATGAAACCCTTAAGGCTTTTCCACGCATCCATTATTAGTATGACCTTTGTACTTGCAACCCAAAAAAGTACATTCTTCCTTTATTCAGTGAACTTTGTTGTTAGAACAAAACAAAGTGACATGCCCACAAAAGGATGTCCAGGGGCCTCTGCTTCTGGAGGCTTGTCTTGTGGCCGAAGCAGGACTGTGATGTTCAGGCAGCATGAAGGGCCGGGGCCCCTAGCAAATGTCTTTTCCTACAGTGGTGGTGATGCCTGAAGAAAGGGTAGGTTAGTCTTCCGTCAGCATACCTTTTGATGGGAAGGTTGCCATTTCTTGACCTTCTAGGGTGACCCCAGGGCCATGCGTCTCCTCTGAGCTACATAAGGCCTGTAATGAGCTCTGTGCCACCAGAGTGATGTGATGCAACTCTGACCAAGACACCCCTTCAGTAAAACTCCCTGAGGGTCCCCATCCCTACAAGAGGGTTCCTGAAAGAACGGCACACAGACTATCCACCTCACAACCACCCCTAGGTAGCCTCTTTTAGAAACCTCTCTCCCCTCCTAAGTCAAAAGCACTTTACTTCCACCTTCCCCTGCATTCCCCCAGGGCCCAGTGAGGATCCTTGGGCAGATGCACGGAGGGGCTTAGGCCACAGCCTGGTACCCAGAGGCGCATGCTGGCGTTTGCTGCTGCCGCTTGCTGCTCAAAGGTCCAAGCACATCCTGCCTCTGCGTCTACGTCTGCAGTATGAGCCTTCTCTCCTGCTGGACGGCATGTTTCTTGAGGAGAAACCATGCCTGGTTCATCTTTACGAAACACACTCCCAATGCCCAGGAACATGCCTCTCAAAGCTTCATTATCAACACGTGTCTGTTGAGCTGATGAGTGTGAAGGACGCGTGTTCCTGAGGAAGGACCACCATCCAGGCATGTTAATGCTCAAGAGATTCCTGACAACAAACTCTACATTGTGACACTTGAACTGAATGAAAAGGCACTTCTTAATTACTTCATTAATAAAGATCATAAACATTCTATTCTCATCACAAAGGAACAGAAGATCAGATTGCACAATTGCAACTGAAATATGCTATGAATGCAAATAATAAGAGTTAATTCAGCTTACATAACCTTACCCTTCATTATATAATTCTTTGTATAACATGAAAAAAACCCAACTTGCCTATAAAGGTTGAATTTTAAAATGGTTCAGAAACAGATGTGCCAGGAAAAATGTGCACATAAACAGAGGACCCACAAAAGCTTGGATCTGCATGTGGCAATGGCTACTCATTTATGACAGAGTCGGATCACTCCGCCCAGTCACTGTACACATGGCAATGCAGTAACACACATGCTTTGAATTGGTCCCCATTGCTTGTTTTGCTGAGGAAGTCTTAGTTGTTTGGGATAAGTTCAAGTACTTGATTCTTACATCAGCAACAGCAGTACCTTCTAAACACTACCCCAGAGTTGGAGGGTCTGCTGGAAGCCCCACTAATGGCCCAGGACAGGCAGCAGAGGTGGACATGACATTTTGTGCAGCACGGAACATATGGAAATCTTTCAGGTACCATTTCCAAGGGGGGGTCTGATGGCTCAACTAGCTGCCCTGCAGAACGTGAAGTGTCCCAGTGCCTGCTTGGCCATGCCCAGTGGCCTGGGGGAATCACAGTTTAGATGCCATGTGCTCCAATCCCCACCCGGGTTCACAATCCCTCCTCGATGCTCCCTGGTAGAAGACAGTCTAGCTTTGGACAAAGTCATGTCAGACATGGGAAACTCACCCCTTCAAAGACTGCCCATTCTGGCCAACTTTAATCGTGAGAAGTCCTTTATGCTCACCTGTCTGGCTGGCACTCTCTAGCTGAGGTCTCCTTCAGAATCAGCCCTTTAAAACTCAGTCCCTGCCGTCATAAACCAGGCAGCCTTCCCTGTCCTAAGCTGAAGACCCTGTCCGTTCAACCTTTCCAAGTCCGTTCCCATCTCGGGGCTCTCCTTGTCCAGGTTGCTCCACAGCACAAACCCCGTAAGTTCCCTCCAGGCACTGGCCTGGTAGAGCTGACAGAGATGCGCCAGCTTCTTGTTAGCCTAGAGCTCTAAGTCTCAGTCACAAGAGCTGATGCATGTGACACAGGCACTTTCCTCAGGGCCTTTTCCTTTTCTACCGGAATATTAACATACAACTTACCTCTACTAAGAGATGTGCAGCAAGTGGGCATTCTCTCCCAGACCTTCTATCAGGCACACTGATTAGCTGGGTCTACCCAGGCGGGACCCGTGCCGACAGTCCTGAAGCCGCGCCTCTCTGCTTCAGTCTTCATCCTGTGCACTGTCAGGACATGCTGTCTCCACAGTTGTTCGGCAGTTTATTTAGATCCCAGATAGTTGAATTTCACCTGATGAAATGGGGCTACAGAAGGGGCCCAGAACGCTGAGCCTCTCCCTGGGGGGAGCCTCGTGGGGCCCAGGGCAGCCGGCCTGGGGAACGCCCCGGTCCTGGCACTGGCGAGCCCGGAGCCTGGCAGGATCTTCTGGTTAGGAGTCTCGTTCCCCTTCTGTCCCGGGACTTCCACTCCTCCCGGCTCTGGGCCGCTCTGCTGACTGCTGTGCCCCTCCCCACCTCTGGCTCATGACTGCTCAGGCATCGCCTCTCCTGGGGTCCACCCCCCGCCCCCCCACCGCGAACACCCACACGGCTCCCCCAGCACCGGCTGCCTGCACTTTCCCCTGCAGGCAGGCTGCTGTCACCGTGTTTCCCCGTTTGTCTTCCCACCGAGCTCTGAGCAACCTGGGTGGCGGGCACTGCGGGGGTGGCTGCATTCACCTCTGGGGCCCCTGAATCTAGCACAGGGCCTACAACTCAGACAGTTTCAATGATTCCCTGCTTGATGACTGTTCAGATGAATGAATGAATGAACACACTTCCATCTCATCATTTATTCTTGACAGCCTCTCTGAAACCAAACCAAATCAAACATATTGCTCCGGAAACTCATCCTTAACAGTCCTAAGCTGGCTTCCGTTAGCAGGTTTCCTTTCATGACGGTCTCCTGCAGGCTTGAATATTTTATTCCTTTGTTCCTTGGAAAGCCAGCCTGTGACACAGCTCACTTGGCATCCACGCGTTCCTCACTCTGTCCAGCCTCTGTGCAGTTACCTGGGGCCACCGACCAGCCCTGGGCAACGGGATGCAGGCAGAAGTGTGTGGCTTCCAGGCTGAAGCCCAGCAAAGCCCCTGTGGGATTGTGGGGCTCTGCTGTCCCCATTTGGTGAGAAGGACCCCTGTGGAGATGATGGCGCCACAGGCCGGAAGTTGGCCAGATCCCTGAGTCACCACTTTGAAGAGAATTGTTCAGAAAAGCCATTAGACATGCAGCAGACTTCAGGTGAATGAGAAATAAAGCATCATTGTGCTAAGCTATGGAGATTTGTGGGTTAATTCATTAATTTACTTCCACAGCATAAACTAGGCCCTGCAGACTAATCCGAGGCTCTGAAACAGTACACTTCACAGGTGCCTAATCAATGCTGAGTGAATAATGGATTTGATAATTTTTTTCTTGCCTATATTCAGCCGTGTTTTCTAAGTTTGTGTTTTCCAAAGAGCAGAACATTATTTTCCTACTCACTTCCACCTGCCTAATTTTGGGGGCTTTCCTACTGTTACAATCAGATGCTCTGAACTGGCAGAGGGTGTCCGTTGGCCCCAGCTGCTCCGACTCCCTGGGGTCCCCACTCACTTGCCCCCCCGTGGGAGGACACCCTCCTGCTGTTTGGGTGGCTGCGCCGGGGTGACTCAGGGCTGGCCCCTGCCTTCTGGCTGCTCAGGGCCTCCTGCTTTGGGAGGTGCCTCTGGATGTAGAGGGAGCAGGGCGGGCTGGGGGCCGGTAGCTGTCCTGTCAGCAAATGGTGCTGCGAGGAGCAGGCCAGGAGGGCCACTGAGGGTGAGGATTCCAGCAGGCAAGTCAGCATCAAAACAGTGGGAGGCAACCTTCTCATCCCCAAGAAATACGTTCCCTGCTCTCCTGCAGACCAGTGGGGGCCAGTTTCCTGATCTCTGGGTAACCCCTGCTCCTCTCTTGTTCTTCCAGCCCATGGGGCCAGCAGCGTCCTGGCCACAATCCCCCTTCAGATTTCCGGCCCTTCTGACATCTTTGTGATCGGTCACTGCGGTAAACCTGCCTTGGCAGAAATGTTGGAGTGGTTTTTGTTTTCCCACCTGGACCCTAGTGGATAAGCTCCTAGGGTGTCCTTGGTCCCCAACACCCTGCCTCCCCTCTCGAGGCCCGGAGGTAATTCCATGGGTGGCAGACCCATGGTGAGTTCCCCCATCTGTTTCTCTTCCCTGGACACACATGCAGCCTACTTCGCCCAGTCTCTCCTGCAAACGGGTGCAGCAACGTGAAGGGAGTCTGGCCACGTGATGGCCCGGTCCAGACAGTCCTCTGCACCCTCTGCCTTCTCCGCTGGTAGACCCAAAACATCCAGGGGTTGGCGGGCCTCCTGGTCCCTGAGTGATGTGCAGGCAGAGCCAGCACACTAGACACCCACACTAGACCGCGAGGTCAGCACCAGGGCCAGCCCCTGAGCTGTCAGCCTTGCCTGTTTCCGCGGTTTGCCCACACTGGCCAGCACACTGGACCTAACGCAGCAGAGCAGAGGGAGGCAGACCGAAGTTAGGTAACTTGACAGGGGCCACGCAGGGCAAGGGGTGGGGGCAAGAGTCACGACCACATGTTTGGCTGCAAAGCCTCTGCCCTTCACCGCTCATCAGCGTCAGGGCCTTTAAATGGCGGTGGAAGGTCATTAAGGAGGTGGGCCTTGACCATGTCTCACCAGATAAAACCATGAACTGTGAGTTGGGCCAAATCACAAATAATTCCAAGGATTCTGCCTGAACGTTAGTAACTTGCTACATTAAAAGACTTTGCTTAGCGATAGCCCTAGCAACCGAGTCCGTTCAGCCAAGATTAGTTTTCTGCCACCAACACCAATCAAAATTCTTTGTCAACAATGAATACGAGAACTCCCTTTTGTCTTTAAATCCCCTAACTTTGGTTCCCTGGGGAACACAATTCGGGTTGCTACCTGAATCTGTGCCCCTGGAATCGCAATTCTGAGACCCCAAATAAATGCTTTTGTTTTGTTTCTATTCTTCCCCCCTTCTTTGGTCATCACCACCCACGGCACACAAACAAAAGTGGGTGAGATTCTGGCCTCAAACAGCGCACAGCACAGGGCAGACATTTGTACATTTAATGATGTTAATAAATGTGTAAGAAACTTGAGCCAAAAGCAGCAGTGAGCATCCGCCTCCCGGAAGAGTAGAAACTGCTCAGTCTCTGCTTCAGGATGAGGAATGTGTGAGCACTCATGCTGCACAAGGAGCCCTCGAGGGGGACACTTGACGCCAACACCTCTCCTTCCTGTGGCTGGCACACAGCTGCCGGCTAGTCCTGCCCCACCCTGATGGACAGCAGGCTCCCAGGGCCCACCCGACCCAATCCCTTCTCTGAACTGTTTCCTGATCCATATCCCTACAGCATGGCCTGAGCCCCGTTGTCCCCACTGCTGGCTAGTGACACCCCAAAGTAAGGGCTGCAGCCCGGTGACCCCTGCTCTTCCTTTCTCCCTTGGGAGCCCCCGGCTGCTGCTTACAGAAGCCGCACTATCCATCCCCTGGCCAGGCAGTCCTCCGTCGCCACTGTAACCCCTCGGAACACGTCACGGGCCACGACAGCTTCCTGCTCACTCTGCCATGGTCCCCAGGACCTTTGCTTGTACCTCCCACCCTGCTGGCCTGTTCCTTCTTCTGGCACTTACCAAGGGCGACACTTCCTGTCCCCCGACAGGTCCCTGAGCACCGGGAGCACACAGTCATCGTCCAAAAGGCCTAGATAGTGGGGAGTCCATATATTTGCCAAGTGCACCCCAATCTCTGGATTACTCATGAGGACCTACTAAATCTTCTGAAAAAGAATGTGAATAAAAAGTCTAAATGGGCCCTATGTTGGAACTGATCTAAAAAAATAAGGATTTTATAAGAACTTCAAGTTGCTTTTCTAAATTAGACACAAAGCAGCCCACCTAATTCTAAACTCAGCCAACATTTCAGCCTTCCAGTTTGAACAGATGTAAAGCTAAAAAATTACATCAACTGCTTGGTGAGCTTGCGCCTGCGAGGACACACAGCGCTGGTAGACCCCCTGCGGGGAATGCTAGTGGCAGCTAACATATAATGAAGGACAAAGCAATTTACCAGTGGACCCAGAACTTGGAACTTGTTAGTGCACCTTGAAATTTAGGCATCTACACAGGGAGTACTTCAACTGGGGGCCTGATTCAAACACCAGTAAATCTAAAATACATTTTGAAAAATGTAACCAATATTAGATGCTGTTTTCAGTTTAAGACACCCCTGGGAAACCACTCGAAGTTGCCAAAAGTTTGGTTATTTTCCTCCAACAAATTACTTATCCCTAAAACAGTTGTGCAACATTGATTTCAATCTTCAGGCAAAGGGGAGAGGTCCTTTTGTCCTTTATCCACTGCGGATCTGTCTGTTGAACTAGTTGTATCACAGTTAAGCCCATGGAGAGTGGCTTCGTTCTCTAAAACAGTAAAAGCATGGGCTGGAACTCCTGGTTTCCTGGAAATGCCAGGCGCTCTGGTCTCATTCGGTGCCAAGTGCTCACCCTGGTTCTCCATGCTCCTGAAGACCAGCCTGCTGGCCCGGTTGCTTTCCCTGTGAGCAAGGACACAGGACGCGGGACCGAGGTGACCAAGAGCGACCCCACCCAGAGGTGCCCAAGGATTGGGGCTGAACGAGCTGCGGCAGACAGCCCAGCGCCGGAATGCGGAGCCCACCTTCGGGGAACACTTACCGCATCCAGAGCTTTTCAAATTCTCTCGGAGTGAGGGGAATATCGAAAGCATACGGCACATTCTTTATGTCCCACCATCGAAGGATGCCGTTGCCCTCATTATCAGTTTCTATAAAATTCTACAGGATTAGAAGACAGCACTTAGTAACATATAAAGTGTGTTTGTGGCAGCATAAAGGATTTTCAGTAGTCAACATCTGGGACAATCTAAGACATTTTTCTCCCCATCCACCTGCTGAACCACCTTTGTATCTAAGTTTCTGATACCGTCGTCATTCCTGTAAAGGAGGTGATGGAGCAAAACACGAACAAATATGTGCTGGAAGGGGCTTGTTTCTGGGTGATGAGCTCATTACCCAGGTAACGATAATGTGGTGGGAAGCCATGCCAAGAAGGGGGACAATGTTTCTTTAAGACTTTAAGAATGCAGAGAAATGCCAGGCTGCTTGAGTTTAAAGCAATGTAACAACACACCGGACCTAACACAGTTAGGGACCCAGTGACATGGAGCAGCTTGTTGATCAAGGTCATGTAGGCCACTAGTTTACAATAGAGTATCCGGGTACCCTTACTGAGATAGGTTAAAACATAACGAGCATTCTGGCTGAACCTGTAGTACACTAACAGCTCCCACTGCAACATGCCTGGGGGCCGACGCTGCTTTACCCTGGTAGTGAACGTGTAAAAGGCCTGGCCCCGCTGCGCTCAGGGCTCAGCCTTGGATATGAATCCGCTGAGCCCCTGCCGGCGCCAATAAACTGCTTCTCACCAAACGTCTCGGAGTCCCAACTCCGTGTTCATAGTTCCCGCGGTTCCTGCAACAGTAGTCATCTCCGGTATGGGACCTGGATTCTTCTACCGACCAGTGAGGGTTCAAAGAGAGCCATTGGCAAAGGGGTAAACCAGAGCCTGGGCGATGCGGCTGCAGCACACACTGCCTGAGGTTATCATCTCAGCGACGCAGGGGACTCGGCTCTCAGCTGTAAGAAGGGGAACGGGGACAGATGAGAAGGTTCCAGTCTAATGTCCCTGAGGGCCTGCAGAAGGTGTCAGGATTGGTCAGGCATTTACGAGGACCACGGACGAGAAGAGCAGGTAACACACGGCTCAGCACTGTCTCACACTGTTTCCAAGTCGGCTCCTTTGAGCCTCCTCATAGCAACACTGTGAGGTAGACAGTGGGCACACCTACAAAGTCCTCTGCCAGCAATACGGTGAGAATGGTGAAAGATGGGAGCATTCCCATTCCACTCAGGAACGAGGTAAGAACATCTCCACTGCACTCCATCCAGCATTGTATGGGGGTGCCAGCCAGTGTGGCTTAGCAAGAAAAAGGAATAAAAGGCGTAAGAGTATGACAAGAAACACAACTGTCATCATTCATAGATGACACGATTGCGTATATAGGAACACAAAGAAGCCACACATAAATTACTGTAACAACAGAATTAAGCAAGAAATCTGGATGTTACATCAGTAGGCAAGATCATTCACATTTTTATATACAAGACACAGAAAATGAGCTTTAAAAAATCATATTTACAACAGCATCAAAACTAGAAAGTCCTAGGAATAAATCTTAGAAATGGTTGCAAGATCTCTACCCAGAAAAGTCTAAAACTTTATTGAAGGATACTTAAAAAGATCAAAATAAATGGAGATACACTCTGTTCAAGAACTGGAAGATTCAAAATTGTAAAGATCACTTCTTTCCAAACATCCTAATAAATTTGTTGTTTCTTTGTGGATGTTGAAAAACTGACTAAAAACCTCTGGAAGAACATGGAGGAGGGACTTGCCTACCAACTAATTAAAAAGAATTCCCAGGTTATGGTGCCTGCACAGAAGTGGGATTAGTGCCAGGATGCACTGCCCCTGGAACAGAACGAGGAGCCCAGAAGCACCCAGGGGCTTGACGCAGGACAGAGGCGAGGCTGCAGAGCCGCGGGGGAAGGACCCACTCCCCAGCAGCAAGTACCAGGATAGCAGGGTCTCTGTGCGGAGGATGGAGCTGGGTCCCCGCGTCACGACACAGGTGAAACAGCCCGGGCACGGGTCAGACCTGCGTGGGAAAGGTGAGCTTGCCAGGCTCCTGGAAGAGAACGGAGAGAGTGCCTAGTGACTCCAGGGTGGGACAGGACTTCTCAAGCAAGACCTACGGGGAAATGTCAGGCAGTCTGACTACTAGAAAGAAGAACTTACATTTACTAAAAGATACATGAAAATGGTGAAAATGCAAGCTGGGAGAAGACACAGAAGATTAGTGGCCAAACCAGAGTACCAGTCCCTCCTGACAATGAGAAGAGAACAGACAGCCCTGTGGGGAACTTGAAGTCTCAAGCAGGCACCAAGGACTGATGAATAAATGGAAAGATATTTGGTCTCATTAGTAACAGACAAATGCTAATTAAAATGACAATGAAACACTGTTACACACCCACTGAAGAGGAAACCATTAAGAGGTCTGAGAGCCCTCAGTGCTATAAAGCAGAGTTGAGTAGCTGTGACTGAAGTCCAAAGGCCCACAAAAGCCAAAAATACTCAATGTCAGGCTCTTCACAGCAGGTGTGTGCTGGCCTCTGGCCTAAGATGTTGACAGCATTCTATTCCTTTGGCTGGATGGTGGTTATGGGTGGGATACAATTTGGGATAATAAAATAATAATAAAACCTTTAAGCTAATTTAAACTTACATATACATTATTATTATAATAATATACACATACATGCATATATGCCTGTTATATATATGCAGTATATATATACATGTAACATATATTATTATATTCCCCTGAAGAGTCACAACTTAAAAACAATTATGCTTAAAAAAGGCCACTCCTGTTGTAACACACACGATTCTGTAGGGTTCTTACTGGTGTTCAGACCACAAGTCTCTTGGGAACAGAGACTGTGTCTTTACTCTTTTTTGTCCTTGTGTCTTTAATATCTTGCAACAGTGCATAGTTCATAATAATGTCTGCTGAAGAAGCCAATGAACTCACTTTCTGAAAACACTTAAACGGAAATGAGCACTTAGGCTCCGATGTGTTGTAAGGCCTCCTCCCTGAGCAGCTCACCAGGGGACCCCAGGCGAAGATGGCCAGTGGAGGAAACACCTAGAGCGGTGGCCAGGGGCCAGGCGCGGCTTTGTGACACTATGCCCTTTGGACATTAGCAGGCCCTGTTTGGTGAATCCCCAGGGAAATGTGGCAGAAGGGAGACAAACCACACCTTTGATCTCTCTTTTATGATCTGTAAATGCCGAGACCCAGAAGTAAAGAGTCTCCGGGCGCTCCGTTGTGAAAAAATGACATTGTCATACCTATTTTTAGAGAGTTATAAACATGCTTTTTAAAGAGTTATTTCTTCCAGTCTTGCCAAAATTGTAGGAAGCACCTTCCAAAGGCGAATACCCTCCCTGCGCAGTTGTGTAAATTGTGATTATGGTGTTAGGATCTGACAGTGACGGGTGCACCCACAGGACAGCAGAGCTGAGATTTAGGGGTTAATTTATGCCCTTACAATACACTCATCTTATTTATGTGTCATGGGCTTCCTGCAGGTTTAGAATTCTAGAGGAATTCCTTCAGCGCTTTACTCAAAATAAACCAAAAGACTGACAGATGTTCAATATAATAATAATAAAACCTGCAGGGTCCTTTAGTCCTATGGGATTCAAGAGAGGTGTGGGGGCCCGTGTGAGGCCACAGGCACGCACGCTCCGTTCCCTCCTCCTCCGCACACACCAACAGGGCCCCTTCCCACAGCCCTGCCAGACGCAGCTCTAGAAGAGAGGGAGGTTTCCATTGCACAGAACTGAGGCTGCTGGGTAAGCAGCAGAGGGCCCGGGGCCCCCTCCATCCTCTAAACACAGTTCAGGGCTCCGCAGAACACCAAGGATGAAGATGCCTATGAGAGGCCGTGGGAATCAAGGTGTGGAGAGGCGAGTGTGGAGGACACCCTCTGAGGAGTGAGGGTGCACACAGGCGCAGGGGTCAGCCCGGCCGAGCAGGGAGGGAGGGCAGGGAGGGGACAGCTCTGGAGGGGAGGAGGCCAGGCCAGCTGGGCAGAGAGTGAGGCTCGAGACAAGGGGGCCTTGGCTTTAACAGTTCAGAGCTGATGGGACCTGCCCTCCTAGAGGACTGTGTGATCCTGGCCTGGACAGCACGCTCAACTCAGTGAAGACAGAGGACCAGAGAGAGGCAGCCCATGAACTGAACAGGACTTAAAAGATGAACTTCATACTGGACACAGGCCGAGGTAGAGCAACATAGAAGAACATGACCAAGTGGAACATAGTGGAGACATCTCTCAAGATGATGTGAAGAAACTTCCATAACACATTTTAAAAATGCTTTTAAGGTGAAGTTATTGCATTCTGCAATGGTGACCGACATCCTCGGTTTTGGGGGGAACCCAGTCTCACCCCATTCAGTTCTGCTGTCCGGTGGGTGCACCGTCACCATCAGATTATGTTCCCCACCTTGACACCATGATCACAAATTACACAGGGAGGCATTTGTCTTTGGAAGGTGCTTTCTACAATTTTGGCAAGACTGGAAGAAATAACTCTTTAAAATGCATGTTTATAATTCTCTGAAAATAAGTCTGACGGTGTCATTTTTTCACTTAAAAATTTAATTCCTATCAAACCCGAGATAAGGCCAAGAATTTCTGTCCATGTAACTCCTATAATTAGTTATTTTTCTAAACATCAGTTCACCTTGAGTGTGAGAATTTATTTGGAAGAAGTTATTTAAAAATAAAAGAAGTTAAATGGGTGAATGTAGTGACAACAATGTTGCTCATGTGAAACCTTCATAAGATTATATATCAATGATAGTTTAATAAAAAAACAAAAAATAAAAGATTTGCCAAACTGAGTATACAAAGTTGTTTCCACATCTCAGCCACTGGATCTAAACAGCCTGACTGTATCAATGATCTTGGGACATTGAAATAGATTTCCTTTCCTTTTAAGGACATAATTGTTTTCTTACCTTAGACAAGTCTGACCATCTGGTTTTTGCTTTGGTAACAAGATACTGATGAGCCTGTTCACAAGCTAGTTCTGAATCTGCAACCTTCTGTTTTGGTCTTAAAAGAAAAATAAATAAATAAATGTGTTTAAATTTAATGGACTCATTAATCTCCCAAGGGGTTCCCCTATCCCTGTTTGTTTCAAAGATACCATTAAAGTGTTATTTCACATCTGGTCTAACTTAATTCTTAAAATACAGTCTTATTTCCCCAGCTGCATGTTCGGGAAGTCTTCTTAAATTTTGTAAATCCTTGTTTATTTTCAGATAAATGCTGTCCAACTTTTTCTGAAGCTCACAAAGCAAACAGGGCTCTTATTCTCAGATGGGGAAAACAATGTAACATCAGATGTCTTTGGAAGAAAACAACTAAAAAACTTTTATTTCTGGATTTACAGATCGGAGTGATAATGCATACTCTAGTGACAGCTCGGGGACAATGGGGAAATGTAGTTTACAGATTTCCCAACCTCAGTTAATGTTTAAAGGTTAGGCGTGTAGTATGTAAAATGATCAAAATTCTGTTTATTTGCTTACAAGATGACAAGACACTGAAAACACTTAAAGAAAGACCCTGTGTTCACCACCTTGGCCAGGCCGCAGCTAGGTACACGGAGACTGTCTGCAGGAATATGGGATGCCCCGGATTCCTCCACTCACTACATCAGGGGGTCATGAGAACCTGTAAAAGCTCTCTGCAGTCGCCCTGCTCCTTAGAGGCACCTACTACCCCATTCCGGGACCTGGAGATTCTCCACACTCAGGTCGGCACCTGAAACACCCTCCCTGCAGACCACGGAACATTCAAAATGGCCCAGCTGTACACACAGCCCCCCAGCTTCCTGAAACAAGACCACATCTGTGCCCCCACTGGGAACACATACTTATTCACAGGCACATGGGGTGGGGTGGGGGGTGAGTGCATCTTGCCGAAGGCTAAGGACACCTGACTGACCACCCTCCTATGAATTTCTCCTCAAGGAGCCCCAGAAAACCAGGGTGGGGCAGAGCAAGCAAGCCCCACATAGCCCCTTTAAAGAAGTATTGTTTAAGATCTGAAAACAAACTGCTTATAAGAAAATGAAATCTAAAGTCAGCCAGCATGTGCCAGTTGAGAAATCACAGGAGTTTGCGTTCCAAACCATGGCACTTGAAAGGCTATGTGATCCCCTCAGGAAGGGCTGCTCTGAGTGTGCCCCTCTGTATGTGACACATGGGTCAGAAGCTCTGGGTGGGTTCTTGGGTAATGGTGGGCTCCACAAACTCAGGGACCCATGAGTGCTGGGCACCATCAGTCACTTTACACACAGAATCTTGGGTTTTCACAGTAATGCTCACACTACCATCCCACTTTGCAAAAGAGGAAGCTATGGTTTAGAAAGGCTGAATAATCTGCCAGAATTGCACGGCCAGTACCTGAGAATCCTGGCATTTGAACTCAGGTCTCTGAGGCCAACACAAGGCTGGCCTTTCCCCCTCCCATTCCCATTTTCACCTGAAGCTAGGGTTTTGGAACCCTCCTTTAACCTCACCCTTCCTAGAAAGAGATCCATTAAATATCCCACTACATAGAGGTGAGGACCACCTTTCATTTTCACACACTGAGGGTTTTCTTTCCCCTTAACTTTTCTATCTCAATTCAACAAAGGAAGTATTGCCCGAGCGCTATGGAGTGTCAGGCCCCACGTGAGGGCCTGGAGAGGTGGACCTGTGACTTCTGCATACCAGAGAAGGCACTCCTGCCTTGCATTTTGAAAGCAGACAGCACACCAGGTCTCAGCAACTAGAGTCAATAAACTAAGCAGTAATAATTGCTCTTCATGTGGCTTCTCCTTTAAATCCCTTCTAAGAAATGCCTCTGCTCTCATACGGCTATCCCTCAAGTTCCTTGATGGCTGACAGAGCCTAGCACCCACTGGTCACCAGTTCATGGGGCCATCATTACCCAGAAGCCCACACCATGCTGCTGACAGACCTGTGTGTCACATGGAAAGAGTCTCACTCTAAACAGCCCTTCTTCGGTGAATGATGTGAACTTTGACAGCCGTGGTTTGGGAAACAAAAAGTCTTGCATTTTCTCAATTGGCAGGATGGTGAGGGCCCGCTGCAAACTGGTGGGTCCTTCTCCCTCGTCCCATGCTGCTGCTGAAATGGGCCAAATGAGGACTTAATCGTTTCCATTTCCTCTCCTGGCAGATGCCACCTTGTGGGGTCCGTAGGTGAACAACGGCTGGCCGATCTTCCTTTACTGAGACCTCCTCTCAGTCTTTCAATTCACCAGTTACTTCTATTTTGCTAAATCCGGGCTCCTCATTGACTTTTCTGTTACATGTGACCCTGCTAACCATTTCTCCTCTCTCGAATAGCCTCCCTGACGCTGCTGCTTAAATGAGGCCATGGGCTGGGACACCCACCCCAGGGCCTGGCAAACGTGCGCCCTCAGTCAGTGTGGTTTTCCCTCTTTATCTGGTTTTCCCCACCCTCTCTCCTCTCTCCTCCCACCTCAGAGCCCACTTAGTCTTCTGGGAGGTCATCCCTTCCCATGGCCCCAGCAACTTCCCTGATGCTGATGGCCATCCCTCTGTACCACGAGTACTGCAACCTCACCTGCTTTTCTGTTCCATTTCTCTCCAACTGCCTACTGGACTTCACGGAACAGTGGAATTTCAGGGCTGCAAAGGGATCTAAAGGTCAACCTGTCTACTCCTCTATCACTACTTTACCACTAAAGGTTTTAAAAGCTTGGCAGGATTATGTTGCATTTTTATAACTATTGCTTAAAAGGATTATAGGTCCTTATGATGCATATTCCCCTGACTTTGCCTTTAGGACCCTCCTAAATCTGATCTGCACCCAGAGGTCTTCCCCAAAAGGATGGAGACCCTGAGAGGCATGTTCTGTCTCTGCAAAGTCAGCACATCCAAACTGATATCTCACTATCTAAACATATCCAAATAGCTCCCACCAACCCAATTTCTTTCTATGCCATAAGCCTTGATTATTTTCTTAACAACCCATGCTCAAACCATGGACCACTACTGATTTTTCCACCCATTTCTCCCTTGTCCCATATTACATACTTGTCTTCTCTAGAGAGGTCAGAAGGTTTTTCTATAGCGTTTTCCAGAAGTTATTACTTCCTCTCCTATTGCCAGGCTCTTCGGATCTTGACGATCAGTCAGATCCAGCCTTCCTGTCAGCCAGTCTGTCAGTTATAAACACACACAAACTCTTGTTCTGTGCTGCTCTAGGTCCTGCAGAATGATGGTGAGCAGTGCAGCAGAGCCCGCATCGCAAGGAGCCCGTGCTGTGCTGGTGGGAATTTAGAGCAAACACAGGAAAATAAGCGAGTCAGGGAACTTCAGATGCCGAACCTGATGGAATGGCGGGTGGGAGGTGCCCTTAAGGCCAGGGAGCATTTCAGGCAGCATAATAGTCCTGAGATGTACTTCTGGTCCCAGTTAAGGGGGAGAAGGCACGCACTTCATCCTCTCTCCCACTGACTACAACTAAAAACTATAGCTACAATATAAGAAGTAACTCTCTGAGGACACTGAACAGGGACAGGAGGCTGATGGAGAGGGAGATCAAACTCGAAGACTCTTACAGTGGGGAGTTTCATGTTTTTTCCCTCCCACATTTCCAGCCTAGGCTTAAACAGGGCAGTCCTGATTCTGGAACTGTGAGGTGGGCATGGACAGAAAAGCAAGCCTGTTTTCCTGACCAAAGAACCAGGAAGGAGTGGCCGTGGGGCGCGGGGTGCGGGGGAATCCCCCCTCTTGTCTGACTCTCCAGTCCTGATCCAACGCAGGCCCTGTCACAAACAGCACGTTTGGGTCAGTGCCAGCGATAGCAGTGGCCAAAGTAACTACCCAAAACTGAAATTCTCTCCAGCTAGAAGGCATGGAAAAAGGGATTCCTGTGTTCAAAAAGTGTTGGGAGGAATCCACTATATGTTTTTTTCTTTCTTCTCTCACCATGTTGTCCTGAGGTGGACCTACTCGTGGGAAATATACAATAGCAAAGATACACTAAAACCTAAGATTTTCCAGCCAGAATACCAAAAATAAATGAATAAATAAATAAACAATAAAAAAAGGATCCTAGGGGATGGAGAGTGGAAAGTATGGGGAGAAATCAGAGAGAGGAGTGAGCTGGAAAAAGGAATGGCCAAATCGGCACGGGAAGTTCCAGGTTCACCTCTGACGTGCACATGTATGAACGTAACTCAAAGCAGCACAGCAGAGTCCTTGAGAAGATTGGTCCCTGGGTGCTGCACACGTGAGCTGGCCTGGGAGAGCTACAAGAGCTTTGAAAACTGAACTGACATTGAGACCACAGAAGGCAGGTCAGGACTTGCAGTCTGAAATTAACTGGATTGATTACCTGCTAAAAAATAACCAAAAACATAAATCACACTACTGAGGATTTTAACAGGGCCAGTATGTCACAATACAATATTAAAAGTGTCCATGATGCAATCTGAAACCACTTGATATATAAAAAAACCACAAAATCCCCCAAATTTTCACAGTAAAAGACAACAGACATTAACTCCAAGTGACCCAGATGTAGAAACGATCATATTTTAAAGTAGCTATTATAGCCATCAGGTAAGAGTGAATGTCCTTGAAATAAATAGAAAGACAAATTCTGAGCAAAGAAATAGAAGTTTGAAGAAAAAAAGAAAAAGAAAGAATTAAATGGAGACTACAACTGAAAAATACAACAACTGAAATGAAATTTTCAGTGGATTGGCTCAATGACAGAATGGAGTGAGAACAGAGGAATGAGTCAATGAACCTGAGATAGCTGAACAGAAATAATACCATCTGATCAAAAGAGAAAAAAAAAGTAAAAGAAGACAGCTTCAGGAACTGTGTACAGGGACCTTCAAAATCAAAAGGTCTGACATTCATGTCACTGGGGTACTGAAAAGACAGAAGAAAGAGATTGGTTCAGAAAAAAATTTAAACTTGAAGCAATAATAGCTGAAACCTCCCTGATGAAAAACATTAAATTTACAGATTCAAGTTCAGCAAACCCCGAAAAAATATTAACTCAAGGAAAATCATGCTCAAACACGTCATACTAAAACTACTGAAAACCAAAGGTAAGGAAAAAAATCCTGAAAGTGACCTGAGAAAAATAACATATGCCATAGAGGGGGAAAGACCATTTGAGTGACTACAGATTCCTCACCCCAAACCACGGAGACCCAAAGATAAAGGAACCTTTTTAGAGCGCTATATGAAAGGAACTGTCAATCCAGAATTCTATATCCAGCAATAATATCTTTTAGGAATGAAGGAAAAATACATTCTTGATTAAGGGAAACTAAGACAATTTGTCTCCAGTAGACCTGCTTTAAAAGACAAGCTAAAGGAAGCTCTTCAGAAAACGGGAAATGATAGCAAGGAGAAACCTGGAACTTCAGAAATAAAGGAAGAGAAGCAGCAATGGTAATACAAATAGACCATTTTTCTCAAAAATACATGAAGCATAAACTGATATAACTAGAAAGAGAAATTGACAACTGCAAAACTGTTAGACAGCAACACTCCCTTGTCAGTAACAGAGAGACAGACAGACAGGAAACAAGCAAGAACATAGGAGACCCGAACACTCAGCCAACTCGATCTCACTGACATTTATAGACACTCCACCCAACGACAGCCAAATACACATTCTTTTCAAGTATATAGGGAATATTCACCAAGATAGACCATTTCTGGGGTTGAAATAAACTTTAACATTAAATTTGTTGAATTAAAATCATACAAAGTATTTCTGACTATAACAGAATTAAACTAGATATCAACACAGAAAGAGTTAGAAACCATGCAATATTTTGCAATTAAAAAGCACTCTTTTAAATAATCGATGGCTCCAAGTGGCAGTCTCAAGGGAAATTAGGGAATAGTTTGAACTGAATGAAAATAAGAACTACAACATACCCAAATCTGTGGAATGCAGCTAAGTCAGTGCCTACAAGGAAACCGATAGCATTGAGAGCTTATATTAAAAAGGAAAGAATCCAAATAAAAAAAGTCTGAGTTTCCAACTTAAGAAAATAAAAAAAAGAGGCAAATTATACTTAAAGCAAGAAAAAAGAAGGAAATAATCAAGGGGAGAAATCAATAAAATTGAAACAAAAACAAAAGAAAAATCAATGAAACAAAAAGCTGGTTCTTTGAAAATATTAATTAAACTCATAAATCTTTAGCTAAAAGGATCAAGAAAAAAGGAAAGAAGACATTAACTACCAATATCAGAAAGAATGGGGTATCACTAAAGATCCCACAGATATTAAAAAGATAAAAGTAGAATACTATGAACAACTTTATTGATATGAATTTAACAACTTTGATATAAAGGACCAATATCTTAAAAAACACAAACTACAAAAGGTCATTCAAGGAGGAATAGAAACCTTAAATGATCCTCTATTAAACTAGTTGTATTTATAGTTAAAATCCTTTCAACAAAGGAAACTCCAGGACCTGCTCATTTCACTGGTGAATTCAATCAAATATTTAAGAAGAAATAACAATTCTGTGTAATCCAGAAAATGAAAGTGGATTGGCATTCATAACTTTTATTCTTAGAGGTCTTCCAAAGAATGCAATTTTCAAAATGGAATTTTCTTTATGAAACAAAACTCATTCTATCTGGCAATTACCATATGGATCCACTGAGCCCTCTGATGTATCTATGATACATTATGGGGTCTTAGTAATCTTGATTTTAATTTTACTAGACCTATTTCATTATCCTAAGAGATAATCAACATTACTCATTGTTTCCAACTATGCTTAAAAAGAGAGATTAAAAATAATGGAGTCACCTAGCAAGATGATATAATATTGGAATGAATCACCACCATTACACCACTCGTTTTCTGACTGCACTGCCCAGAGTATAACAGATCTTTCAAGAAGGTGACACCATCTTTGTAGTCTTATGTTAGTCTTCATTAAACTCAGTTGAAAACTCAGAATTCTTATTTCATGCCCAAATGGCAAAGAGAAGAAAATTGAGATAGGAAGATGTTTCACAATTGTTAGATGAAGCAGAAGATGAATGTACAGGAAGAAAACAGCATTATAGAGTCCAATGATGATGGTGAAATTGATAATATAAGCCAAATCTCTTGCTGAGTGAATGATGCATTTCTAAGAACAAAAGGGAAATTTGGTATTTCCACTCAGTCAGTCATTCAACAGGAAGGACTTGATCATGCAATATTTTTTGACAAGAAGCTGGACCATCTAATTTTGCTAAAAGGACATGTGATGATATTCTTTAATCTTTTATGATGTATATGCACCAAAATGTGCATGATGTAGGTTGTCAATAGGTAAATGGACAAGGCAGTTATGTTTTGAACAAGGGAATCGATTGGAAGGGAATAGATGGCATAGACAGGTCATTGGACCCGTCATTCTGACTGGTATTTATACACCTAAATATGAACACTTAATGAAGCAAACAAGATGGTCTTTTCTCCTCACCAGAGTTATGAACCCTCAGAGTTTTCAAAAGTATTGTGTCTTGATGACACAGGTGGAAAGTGAGGCCCAGAAGGCAGAGGCTGGGCTGGCTGGCTTCCAGGAAGGGATGGGGTCCCGCTTCAGCTGGCGGCGAGGAATGAGGCTGGGACGGTCAGGGAGGGCGAGGTCCCCAGGCAGAGAAAGGGGCCCTTCCCAACAGGCACCCTGGTTTCATATCCCTGCCCACCACCTATCACCTGGGTCCTCTGGACAAGTCATTAACTTTTCTCTAGGTCCCAGTGCCTTCACTGGGAAAGTTACACAGCAATGCCTCCTTGTAGGGCTGCGGGGGTGTGGAAGGCTATGTCCTGAAGCACAGGTGTGGGGTTTGGCCACAGGAGAGCCTCGCTTTCTAACGCAGTACCTTGTTGGGGCCTCAGGGCTGTCTCCACAAGACTCCTGGAGCCCATGCTGGGTGTCCCTGGGCTCCGGCCTCTCCTCCTTTACATCCGCCCTCTGCTCTGGGGCTGCTGAAGGGTCTCGGCAGCACAGTGCAACCTCTCACTCAATAGCATCAAACCCTCCCCTGCCTACTGGAAGGAGAAACGTCTCATCCTGGCTCACAAGCCCCTTCGGAGCCAGCCCTCCTGCCTCTCTAGGTCTCCCTTCCCACAGTGGCCCAGCATGTGCTGCTTTGGCACACACATCCTTCCCACACTTCCTGCACGTATTCAGTGCTCCCACCTCTGGTTTTGCAAATGCTATTCCCTGGCTTCGAACCACCAGCTGATAGCCTGCACCTGACAAACTCCTACTCATATCTCAAGACCCAACCCAAATATCCCACTCCTCAGGTGGGCCTGGCATCTCCCCTGCCTGTGGAACTCCAGACACCTTTGTATTTCAATATAGCTCTTTGTTTTCGGACCTGTCCCACACCCAACCATAAGCACCTCAAAGGGAGGGTTTTTAATTCATCTCTGCACCGCCTAGTCCTGGGGCAACATCTAGCATACAGCAGACCCTCAGTAAGTATTTGATGAGTGAACAAATAAATACAAATAAGAAGGTTGAATCATTGGAATGGGAAAATTGAGCTTGTGGTTGAAAGTTTTCCATGTTCATTCTGTATACAGTCTCCAGAAAATCCTTTCTGAAGGGTATTTTTTGTTTTGTTTTAATGTTAAGTAATCAAGTCTCATATTACAGCGCCTCAGAATTGAGTGATTGGAAGCAGGTGTCCAACTCACGTGTTATGTGATTGCTTTACTTAGAGACTATGGTTGTTTTCTTTCTTGCTGGCTTTTATTTTAAGACAAAATAAAACCGACAAATTCTGAGGGAAAAACTGAAGTGCAAGATCAGAGGGCCTCTGCAGCCCAGCCAGTTATCACAGAGCCTGGCCTGGTGACGGAGGCTTCTGGAGGCTCCCTGCTCCAAGCCTGGGAAGGGGTGCTTGTCTGGGGCCCCTGGGGCTGCGAGTGCCTCAAGGGCAGACAGTCTAGTGAGTGTCACCACCGTGCTGTCTCATTGTGGCAGCAAATACGATTATCAAAGCGGATGGTAACCTTTCAAAAAATATTAATATTATACTTAGAATAATTGGTCAAGAAGGATCTGAATGGCTACTTCACTCATGCCCGTGGGCATTCAACAGATCTTGACGGGGAGCTGACAGTGACAGGTACCAGGTTACATGGGAGGCCCCGTTATTGCTTCAAGGAATGTAGCCTTTTACTGAGAGAAAGCCGAGGACACAGGGTTACAGCTCACAGCTCGGCTGGACGCTGAGATTCTCCTCCTTGTGAGTGAGGCTGGCATGGGCTGGGTGGGGCTCTCAGGTGGACACTGCCCAGGAAAGGGCTGGAAGATGTCTTTGTGTCTTCTAAAGCAGTTGGCATGGCTGACTTCAGATTTATAAAAAGTATATGTATACTGATGTCCATAGTAAAAAGGCCAAACTAATACTCAGCTTCCATCTATTATCACAGGGTGTTCTGAGGTCCCCTGTTCACATCATTGCCTAGGTTAGCATTTCAGTGCCTGGAGGAAGTTCTCATGTTCTCTTGGCAAGCATCCGTGCGCAGCCTGTGCAGGGCCCTGCAGGGGCCCCTGTGGAAGGGGCTATAGCTTGGAAAGCAGTGTGCTGAGAGGTCTTGCAAGGCTGAGCAACATGCATGTTCACCTGACCCCAGATTTATAAAAAGAAAGAAGATCTAAGGATATGTGTCTATTTATGTGCATAGAAAAAGGACTGGGATGATACACAGTGAAATGCAAACAATGCTCCCAGGTGGTTAGATGAGGTAGTATCTTCTAATCTGTACCTGTCCTGTCTGGTCTTTCTACAGTGAAGTCATATTATTCCTTCTGCGATTTTTCTTAAACCAAGAAAAAGACAAAACAGCTGCCCCTGGGAGGCAGCTCCATTCTGCACCGTTTGCAGACACAGTGGAAGTGCTAGGCTTGGGGGTGGCCAGGGCCAGGACACATAAAGGAGGCCCGGCGTGCTGCCTGCTCACCTGAGGAGTCTTTGAGGAGCGTCATCTGAGCTGAAGGGTCTCTGCTCACACAGGTTCCGAAATTCCTGGAAATTCAAAGGGACGCTGAGTATCAAGCCAAGGGGGCCCAGGAAACGCTCAAAGTCCCCGTCTTTAAGATTGAGCAGTAAGTGCAGTAGCAGTCTGTGAAGATCACGCATGTTGATGACGCCATCCCTGTCGGTGTCTGTTTTGAAGAAGGCAGACTAGGGATGCTAGAAATGACACGCACATGTCAAAGCACTTCCTTCTGAACGTGCCCATGCCACGCTTACAGCCCCCGTGTATACAGCTCATCTCCAACGTGAGGAGGGGGCACTGTTGCGACTATTGCTTTTGGGAGATTTCACTGCTCCAAGAATATTCTTGTCATGACTTGCATTTCCCAATATGTTCTCCAGTGCGCTCTTTCAATGCAGAAAGTCCCTAGAAAGGGACAAGAAAGGTTCTTTATTCCCTTCACTCTCCTATTTATGGTACCAGGACCACTTACAAGCAGCTTTCCAGGGCAGAGGAAATCCTGCTCTCCATGGCTTCACACAGCCTTCCTAACGTTCGGCAACTTCTGTCCCCAGGAACACAAGCGCGTACTGACTTTTACCCCGAGGAACCCACCAGAGGCCAGTGCCCATTCTGGGTGATGGCGCCAAAGCTCTGGCCCTTCTAAGATCTGCCTGCTGCCCTGTCTAAAGGGCTTTTCCGGACACATTTGCTCAGCTGGTCATACTGCCGGGGGGCACAGCCATTCCCATTTTGTGAATGAGGAGATGGAGTGATAGGGAATTTGTGCTACACAATCGAGGCCCCTCCCTGAGAGGCCGCTTAGTTTCGAACCCCAGCTGGCCACTCCACCTACTGCAGCATGACCTTGGGCAAGGTATTCAAGCTTTCCTGTCTACAAAATGGGGATGAAAAATGGCCCCCTTTGCTGGGGTGGTTGGGAGGACAGAAGAGGCTAATGTAGACAAAGCACTTGGAAGGTGCCTGCATGTTTCCTAAGCACCCTGAAGTGCCTGGTACTCTTACCCCTGTCTGAGGTTATGCAGCAGGTGCCTCGCTGCGGGGACCTGAACGGGCTGTGTCTGGGCCAATACATGTGTTTTCCGCATCTGGACTTCCTACGTCCCAGGCTTGAAAAGTTGCTCATGTGGTCCCAATACCCCTCATTTCCATCAGTACCCAATGCAGCCCCCTCCACCCCACCGGGGGCTATCTACTCGCTTTCGAGGTGTTGCTTTTATCCCTTCCTGCCCCAAGTCTCAATCTTTGACTTCCCAGAATGAAGACTCCTAATTTTATTGGAGTCAATATATGTTGGAGTCAAACAGATGTTACTTCAATTCCTGCCTGTGACGTTTACTAGACATGCGGCTTTGGGAAGGTTCTCCCCGTGTCTGACCTTCAGTCTCTCCATCTATGGATCAATTGCTTAGGAAAGACCGAGCTTGGGTAGGAGTTAGCTGTTCAGAGGGGGGGCAAAGGAACAATGTACAAAAACAGGAGGGCAAGGAAGAATGCTGGCCGGCGCGGGAAGCGAGGAGGGGAGGACGCAGCTGGGGCGAGCACCGGGCCAGCCGGCGCAGACCTGGGGCTGTGGGCTAGGCGGGCAGCAGCAGGGCTTCCCCTGAGGGCAGATCGGAGCTGCGTGTTGGGACCTGCAAGGTCAGATGTCCCAGACAGACTGTGAGGTGATAAAGGGAGTTACAGACGTGTGTGTGCAGAGCGATGCCATTTTTGTGGGGGGGTTTTTTGACGCTGTTTATTTTTTAAAATATACACAAAAACCTGTGGACACCTGCCTGAACCTCAGAGACACTATCTAGAGAGTTAAGTCCGGATTGAAGGACTCCCCGGGGCCACAGAGAACCTGTCCCCCGGTCATGTCCCCAGGTCACCAAGGGGGTCTCTGTGCCTGCTTTCCTCACCACAGTCAGGGAGGAACGATGTCCCTTATTTGGTCACCAAGCACTATCCCCTTCAGACTATTCATGGCTCGGGTCTGGGCTACGAGGGTATGGCTGACTGACTTACCTTTACTGTTCTGTGTACACCTAACTGAGTGCTGAGATGGACTCATTCAGCTACAAAATTACTGTGCAAACAACAGCAACTGCAGTATTTTAAGCTAATCTCATTTGTTTTTTCATTATTGAAGGGGAACGATGTTCAAGAATTTCCATGAATAGGGACTTAATAAAGTTACGTAGAGTCTCTGTACCTTCCCATTCAAAAGTCAAGACACATACTTCATCCCGTTTACAACAAGCAAATCCCTAGTGAGCCCGGGTGTAACCTGAATCCTACAATGTATCAGGCAAAACCTGGCAATTAGGGGTTCATTTCTTTGACCCACTAGATTATGAATTCTTTCAGGATACCGTGGGTGTCAGTGAACAGTCACTGAATCAATTCATTACTTAATTATTTAAAATAAAGATTACCTTAGGAAATACAGGACATGTGCTCTAACCAAGCTACCTGATAATAAAGGGAGGAAAGCAATGGTGCCAGCATGGAGCTTGCCTTACCCCCAAGGCCCCCACTGGGAAGGGTGAGTGAGAGCAGAAAGGCGGAGAGAGGTCAGAATCAGGAGGCTGGGTTGCAGCAGGGCCCGAAGGCCTGGGCCCCCTCTGGGCCACGCTGTGCCTCTACCAACCAGCTGAGAAGGGACATTGGCTCCAGTCCTCTCTGCGTCCCTGCTGCCCTCTCACCCCCAGCCCTGCTCTCCTTCCTCAGAGACCAGGCTCACAGCCTCCTAACTGACCCCTGCCTGCTCCATGCTCTTCTTGGCTGGGCATTAGACCAGATTCAAAAATGAGGGTTGATCCTGCTCCGTGTGTGCTGATGGCAACATTTTTTCAAACCAAGAATTAGGCTGCACGATCTGAAGATTGGGCAGAATGTTCAAAGTCAGAACCATCCTGCAAATCCAAGCTAGATGGGGGTCATAAATAGATCTGATTTAAAAGGGGGGTTGGTAACCACAATGAAACTCCAGCTGGCGACCAGTACAGAGAACATGTCTCAGCCCAGAAAACTGGTGGCCCCTGCCCCTGTCCGCAGGGAGCTGGCTCTACCCAGTGGCCCCCACCCCTTCCGAACTCAGCCCCTCCTTGCGTGCCGAGGTGTCCCTGTGTGCCCAGCCCGTGCCCCTCCGCCCCCTGTGCTGTGACGCACTCTGCTACCCACTGCCTGCCACCCTATCTCCCATCTTGTAGCTGCTATGGTCGGTGTATCAAATTGATCTTCCTTCCTTTAATCACCCTCATTAATCACTTCTCAACACAAAAACAGTCGAAGTCACTCTGCGCCTGCCCTTGGTTGAATGGCTGCTGTCTATTTCGCCCACTGTGGCCATTAAAACTTCCACAGGCAGATGTTTTGCTGCCCTTGTCTAGCTTAGATTAATACTTAGTCCATAGGCACACACCTGATCATCTACATTTGCCCTCTTACAGCACTAAATTATGTTTTCTACCTTTATCTTGCATCTACCTACCACTTCAGCATTTTATTAAAAATAATAATAATAATAATAATAAGGGAGAAATGTGGGATTCACATATAAATCAAGTATAAAAATCAAACAAACAAACAAAAAACTTCCACAGGCAGCCCGTGCCTTGGTCGCGCTGAGCCATCAGCCCTTCCCTGACCTGTCTGCCGCCCACCTCGAGTGAGCTCTCTCTGCTGTTAATTGCTCCCTTCTTTTCCCAGCCAGCAGCATGATGAGGGTTTAAAATTTGGTTCCAGGGTCACCTGCTCCAGGAAGCCCTCCTGTGTGCGGTCTTTTCCCTGCGCACCTACAGTTCACTGCCATTCCCTGTATGTCAGCCAAGCACAGTATGAATTGTCCATCTACCATCTGTGCCTTGGACTGGGCCGAGCTCCCTAAGCGGGGCTACTACTGCCTTTCATCTCCAGCTTTTAGCAGAGATTCCAGCATATTGTGTGTTATACTAGTTCGGTGAGCGAATGAGCAGCGTGGGTACAATGGATGAATGGATCCTAAATTCGAAGTCACTCTGCTATCATGCCCCTGTCCACCTTTCCCCTGTTGTGTGGAGGGTCTCCTTCCGTCTCCAAGGCCTTCAAGAGGCAGCAGACAGACGCAGCAAAGTGTCAGCAGGGAAGAGCCGCATGGAGGGAAGGGGAAGGGAGGGCAGAGCTCTGTGGCCGGTGAGGGGCCCCAGGAGTTACACCCAATGTGGCTGAAAGTGGGGTCCAGATTAGCTGATAGCAGACAGATCATAGTTTACCGGGAAGGATTCCTTCAGTTGGCAGGGGAAATGTCGCAGGCACTCCTTGGCAGTTGTAAAGAAGCTGTCCAAGTTACTTTTCGAAAGGATTGGAGTCTGAGGAGTCATTGCTGGCCTATTCATTTTTGCATCTGAAACAATTACATAAATCAGAAAACTTAGATTAATGGTGTGTACACCTCTTTATTTCTATGTCAACGCTTGATCTCTCCCTGCCTCAAATCCCATTAGAATGCTATACAGTAAAATGACCCTGTGAACTGAGCATAGCAGTAATGTTATGATCTGGGTTTTTTTTTCCTTCAGTTTCTTAGAAATTTTCCTGTTGTAAGAAATTGTTCTCTTAGACTTCCTGGGGCCGCGCTTGTGCTCAGCACAAATCGGGGATCATGCCCTCGCACACTTGCTTGTTTGACTTCTCTGTCCTTCCTTATATCTGCTCATCTCTCCACTCCCAGAGGCAGAGAACAAGCATTACCTGCCTTTTTTGTTGCCTAGAATCATATCCTAAACATAGGAATGTGTTTAGTCAAAACTCATTAATTCACCAATATTCATTCATTCACTAATTTCCTGGCCACATATCCACTGGTATTGTGCTAGGAGCCTTCATGTATTTCTTTGTCCTTTCAACAACCTGAAGGGGTAGATTCTCTTCTTACGCCTACTTTACACACAAGAAAACCCATACTATGTCCATTTATGTGTGAGGAGACAGAAGCTCAGCGTTTCCCCAACTTCCCCAAGGTCACAGAGTTCACAGGCAGCACAGTTCAGCTCAGGCCTGTCTGGTTCCAGAGCCCAGCTGGCTAATCACTGTATTATGCCTTCTCTCTCCCCCAAGACTGAGGAGAAAAGTGTAACCCCTCCTTAAAAATCAACCTGTTCCCACTAGGTTGGGATAATTTGAGTGTGTCCTTGTCTAAAGCCAGGCTATAAACCTGGGGCTTGGTTTTAGATGTGGTTGTATGCACCTGCTGCCACCAGCCCCTGCCCACAGGTGTGGTCGGCAGGAGGGATGCTAGGCAGTGTCTGGGGCTCATGGGTATCCGATGGCCCAGTCCGGGCCCTGGCTCCTGCCTGCCTCTGCCTGGGCCTGGAGTGGCCTCCTTCCACTTCAGGGGCTTGTTACAGCTGGCAGATAACACCTCCCTGGTTGATGCTCCTGCCATGCCCACCCCACGCCCCTAGCCCGAGGCTGGCCTGGAGCCTTATCTCCCCCACCCGCCAGCCCCTCGCCATGGGGAGAGACAGGACAGAGGAGAAGGAGGAAGGGGAGAGGGGAGAACAGGCCGGGGCAGGAGGAAGCCAAGAGCAGCTGGCGGCTACTGAGTCGCGGTCCACTCTGCAGCGGCCTCTGCGCTGGGACCTTCTCCCCCCAGCACAGGTTTTCCTCACCTGGAACATGAGTGCAGCTTTTGTGGTAGAAGCACTGTTACACTGGAAGCACTCACTAAAATAATATGAGTTCCTTTTTCCTTTTTATTTGTCTTCAAAAATGTCAAAACATACATCCAAAGAGAGTGTCAAACTTGTAAAATTCTATGGCTTTTCACTGCCTTTTTAACAGGCGCAGGCCCTCTCTCCCTTTAGAATGGGCAAGAGATCGTCTGCCAGGGCTGGACGGGAGCTCCGCGTTTTCCTGGTGAGCAGTCCCAGCTGCTGGTTTCTCTAGGGCAGACCCATTACATCGCCCAGCCACCTCCCAGACCACAGGCGGAGAGGATGGCATGCAAACAGGGCTTCCGGGCTCTCCCCTGTCTAGCCTGCAGTGCGTTAGCAGCAAAGTAGAAAAGAATTTCACCCACATATCTGCATGATTTCTGCAGCTTTTCTTAGACCGCTTACTTGTCCACCTAAACTTCAGTATGAGCAGAGAGAAGTGAGAGGAAAGGAGACGCAGCAGAGGCGTGAGGCTGGGGGCTTGGCGTCTGTCTACTAGGCATGTGGCCAGCAGAGCAGAATTAGGAGCAGGTGGCAAACGGGAGGACCCAGCCCCTGGCTTTGATGGCACTGCACATGACAAATTTCCTGACAGTCATTTAAGGGCGGGTGAGGGAGGGCAGGGTGGGTGATCTTGGGCACATCACTGTGAGTCTCTGTGCCCCTATCTGCAAAAAGGGAGGAAGAACACCTGCCTTGTGGGTGCCTGGGTGTCACTGATTACAGATAACCGGCATCTATTTTTAGGAGGAAACTCTTAGAGGACATGAGGTGGACTGAAGGAGCACGGGCTTTGGAGTGGATTTTAGAAGGCACTTGTGCTCTAAGTCTGCCGAAAGCTCTGACAGGCAAAATCCCATACTCACAGTTTGGTTTGGTGAAAAGACAAGGCTATAACACAGATAAAATGAAACAAAAATGGTTCCAGTCCTTGAACTCACACTGTTTCTGCACCTCAGCGCACACTTCAACCCCCACGGCCTGGTGGCCCTGCTCTGGAAGCCTGGCCGCGCTGGGGCGGGCCACTTATCCCAGAAGCGTTTGCACTTGATTAGCTACCTTCAAATCTTGTCGCAAAATCAAGATAGCTCATTCCTTCTTTCTTATATCCTATTTTTGCAGTCAGCAAAGCATACTGATCGCCACCCATGGGCATTCCGAGGAAAAGGTGGTCAGGCTGTCCAGGGCCCATGCCCGGCTGCGCCCTTCCAGCCCCGTGGTGGGCTCCCCACCATGGCTCCTGCGCTCCTGTCTGTCACCACCCACAGGCTCCCTGGGTGTGTCCCGGATCCCTGGCCCACACAGGCCTGTTTGCTCAGGAGCGAGAGCACAAAGGGGCAGGTAGGCGCCAGGCCGTGGCTCGGTGCGCACTGGGGGCCGCAGTCCGCGCAGCAGACCTTGTCAAAGGCCGTGCCATCCAAGGGATTCAGATTCACAGTTCCTGGGACTGCAGTAATCTCCTAAGTCAGATTCATGTTCACATATATCCTAGGGAGCAAGGACAAAATAAAGCAAGTCAGTTTGAGGAGGGAAAACTAAAGGTTTGATTAAAGTTTCATTATGGTCCAGATAAAACTGCCAACTAGTGTGCTTTTGGGGGAGACGGGGAGCATCCATTCCTCTTCTAATGTGAGTCCTCTCACCAAAAGTCATGATCCCTTCACTCCACCATGTAAGTGGTGTTGATGTAAGTGACTGTTTTCCAACAGTTCCCATTTTGTGCGCATGTGTGGGTTGGGGGACTGCGGGGGAGACAACTGAGGAAACGCACTTCCTTGCACTGTGAACAGTGAAGCAAAATCATCTAGATGGTTCTTCCTAGGAGATGACACTTTCCTAGGAGAGACCGATCAGCTGGGCCGTTCAAGGGGCAGATGATGCCGGCACTCGTTTTGCCAATGGCTAGTCAGGTAACAGCCTGGACAGAGCTGCCTGCCTGGAGGTGCACACCCAGATGGGATGCTGGGGACAATGCAGGCAGGACAGAAGACACCGTCCCATCTGCTCTCAGAGTATTCCCAATCTAAATGAGAAAGCATGGTTTTTCTCCAGAAAAGGACATTGAATCACAGTCCAAAATGAGTCCGTGCACCTATGGGCCAAAGACACCCAGGATGACTGAACTCACTGCAGACAGACGGAGGAACGCTGTCTGGGAGAGCCGAGCCTGGAGGTGGGTTTGAAGAAAGGGTGTGCCTGTGTGTTGGGGGGCCAGTCATTAAGATATGTCAGGAAGCCAGAATAAGTCGGAGAGCAGAGGGGCAGAGGGGGCAGTGCCCCCTGACTGCATTCTGTGGAGGAGGCTGAATGGGGGAGGGGGAACAGGGGGACAGCACTCGCCGCCGTCATCATGTAGCAATGCTTATTGCCTGTTGGGTGCCAGGCACTGTGCTGAGGTCTTTCCAGCATTACCCAAGTTTCATTAATCCCTATCCCGAGCCTTGAGAAAGGCACTCTCACTAACCCCATTTTAAAGATGTGGAAACTGAGGCTTAGAGAGTTGCCCCAATCACATGTCTAGGAATAACAGGCCTGGGGTCCAAACTCAGTTCTTCTTAACCTACTATAATGAGCTCTAATGTTGCAGAGGTCCCTGGGGCCTGGACAAGGAACGGGGCAGGGGGAAATGGCTAGAAAATGACAGGAGGAAGTGGGGGCTCTGTCACGGAGCTCAGGTAGTCCGTGCGGGCAAAGGAAAACTGGGTCTTGACTGGACACCCTGGGATCTCTCTGGAATGCCAGAAGGGGGAGGCTTCTGAGGAGCTGCTGTGAGGCCATCTCCCTCCGGCCCTCCTTATCCTCCTGAGAGGCTGTCAGGAGACAATTACTTTTCACCTCCCGGGTTCTGATGAGGTATAGACCCTTCTGCCCTGGCCTCCCAAGACTACACTGCGGACTGTAAACCCACTTAGCTGCAGCAGGGTACCCACAGCTTGTGGGCAGGCATGAGCTCCTTCCGTTTTGGCATCATCCTCTTTGGTGGGAGGGACTAGGACCCAGGGAGTGGGCACCTCCGGCTGTCTATATTGGCAACAAACTGAAGGTAGGTGACAGTGGCTCTGTACTAGCCCAGTTGGTCTGGTCCTGGCCCTGGCTTGTGTGCGTGAACTGGAGTTGAAAAGCCTCAGGATGTGCGATGGGAAGCAGAGCAAAAAGGGAAGGGAATCCAGGTGGGCACAGCCCTGCCTGGGAGCTTGGGGAAGCAGCACTGGATTCCAAGACCATTCCAAGTGGGCCTGGGGACCTGGGCAGGCAGTGCTTGGCTGGGAATTCCAGCAGCCCCATGCCATCGGCAGGCACACCCTGTCCCAGCTCTGCACAGCAGCCTGTCCCAGCACAGGACACTGCAAGCGTCCTGCAGAAGCTGCGGCCCACGTGAAAGGTGCCTAAGCAGCAGTGGGGCTCAGAGACAGACAGACTGCTCGCTTGCTTTGAAAAATAACTTTATATTTTGAAAACAATTACACATGAATTATTCATTGCAAATTCCTCCTGCTCAGTCCTTTCATAAAAACATATGCAATGGTAGTAAGAAAATGTCTGTAGGCAAATGTCTCACAGCCTGGAGGGCTGTGAAGCCACCAGGGAGGCTGGGCCTGCCTGAAGCAGCCTGTCCAGAGGTGGCAGGAGTACAGCCCCCTCGCCCCTATGGGCAGAGCGCGTCACGCAGGCTACAGAGCCCAGGGTGCGACCCCCAGAAGAGGCATAAGCGTTTTATAGGCACTGATGTCTCTCAAGCTTCCCCGTGCACCACTCTTATTTCTAAGATGAATACAACAGCAAATCAGCTAGACTTATCACAGCCCTCGGAGGCGATTTACAATATGTTAAGGCTAAACTGCAACATTCATAAAACAGATTATAAAACGTTTCACCATTCAAGTCATGTCCTTTGTTCCTTAGGCATTTCCCTTAGGAAGCCCCTCAGAGAGTGACAGACTGAGGCCTGGCATATTCTGATTTGCCGAACAGTCACTGCAGCCCCCGCTGGACATCACATGGGTTGCAGATGGACTGATTGTCCCACAGGAGGCCATCACGGAACCGCTGCTGGGCTCGCAAGGTGATAACAGGTGTGCCCGAATAGGTGCCCAGTAACTGGAACGTGAGTGAGGGACTCAGTGTTCCTAAGCCCAGAACCTGCAGTGCGTCCTGTGAGAGAACCAGCCACCGGTCTCTCTGTGTAATATTTGTTTGCCTCTTTGCATCATTTTTTTGGGGGGGTGGTTGCTCTAGGCATTGTAATATGCACCTTTAACCTTTTATAGTTCATATGGAATCACTTGACGTAAAATGTAGACCCCTTGCAACAACGTAGGTCCTCACCCTGGCCCCTGCCCTTTAAGCTATAGTTGTCATTTGTTTTACATCTACATATATTATAAACCCTGCAAGACAGTGTTAAAATGCTTTAAACATGCGTATTCATTTTTAATTAAGAAAAAATAGCCTTTTATATTTAATCAGATATTTACCATTGCCAGTGTTGTTTATTCCTTCATGATCATCTGAGTCTCCACCTAGTATCAAATTCCTTCAGCCTGAAGAACTTCCTGTAGCATTTCTTATAGTGAAGATCTGCTGGCAATGAATTATGTTTGCTTGTTTGTTTATCTGCAAACATATTTATTTCACCTTAATTCTTAAAGGAGACTTTGGCTGGATGTAAATTCTGGGTAGAGATTTTTGTTTTTGTTTCTGGTGTCCTTTCAGCATGTTAAAGTTCTTGTCTTCTGGCCTCTGTTGTTTCCTGTAAGACTTAAATGGTGATTCAAATGGTTGTTCCCCTTTGTAGCGTGTCAGTCTTCACACGCAATTTTATGATTTCTCTCTTTGATTTTGGTTTTCAGTTTGTCTATTATTTTTTTTTGTATTTATCCTACTTAGGATTTTCTGAGCTTCTTGAATCTGTACATTGAAGCCTTTCACCAAAATGGGAAAGTTTAACCATGATTTCTTCCCGTGTTTTCTTCTCTAGTCTTCCTTCCTTTCTGTGGCTCCAATGACACCAATGCTAGACCTTTGATGCTGTTGCACACATCCCTGAGGCACTGTTCTTTCTTTTCTCTCCTTTTTTTTTTTCACCTTTTTCTCTCTCCTCCTCAGTTTGTGTCACTACTATTGATCTATCTCCAGGTTCACTGACTCTCCCTTTGTCATCTCCATTCTGTGGTTAAGCCCATCTGTGAATTTGTTATTTCAGATATTTTATTTTTCAGGTTTGGAATTGCCATTTGTTTCTGTTCATAAATTCTGTTTCTCTGCTGAGACTTCCTACACTTTCATTCACTGTGAGTATATTTTCATAGTTCTAATAGTTACATTAAAGACTTCCAGTACTAATTCTAACATCTGGATCATCTCAGTCTTTTCTCTTGAGAATGGTCATATTTTCCTATTTCTACATTTGTTGAATAAATTTGGGTGGTATCTTATATAGTATGGATGCTGTGGTATGGAGAGTTTGGTTTCTGTTATATTTTGTTTGTTTGTTTGAACAGGCAACAGACTTGGTTGGACTCAGACTGAAGTCATCTGCTGGCAGCAGTTTAAGTCTCTATTCAGGTTCTTTTGTCCTAAACTAAGCTCCTTGCAATCAGCTTCAGGGTCTTTGAACGGTCCAGGGTCAGCAGAGATTAGGCAGAATTTATATACAGAGTTTGGGGCATCTGCTCTTCCCTTTGCAGAAATCTTCCTTTACTTTCCAGCGGCATGAGTAGCTGCCCAGCCCTTTCTCTGCCCTCTGGCCCTTCAGGCGGGAAGACTGCTGGTTTTCTATCAGTGTATATGTCTTACGTGGCACCAACTCCCGCCTTCACTCAGGTGAAAAGCTGAGGAAGAAGGGACCGTCACCCCAGGCAGTCTTCATTCCCAAGAGTACTCTCCGGAACCTGCCACTTAGTTCCTCTCCCCAGGGCCTTCAGGTATTTGCTCATTTATTTCTTTGCTTACTCATCATTATCCACTGTTTATAGCTGACAGCTCTGGGGAGGTTGGTCTGGGAGGAGCAAAGGTTTGGACGCTTGTCAGCCTGCAGCAACACCATCTCATGGCTCAGAGCGCTAGGTAAGCCTGGGGAGCTCCAGCTTCGACCTCACCACTTACAGATGAGGATCCCAAAGCCCAGAGACGCAAGTGCCTGTCCTACAGATGTGCATGAGCAGCGTGGAGACATTCAAATAGCTCTGCGGGAGGTCACTGTCCAGGGGTGCTTGGTGGCCAATGACAACAACCCAGTGCCGGTGGCTGAGTCTGGATTCACAGTTCTGGATTCTGAACCCGGATTCTGGCTTTACAAACAACGGGAAGAGGTGGTTTCTTCTGCAGGCCACACACTGGGAGTGTGTCACTCCCCAAATGCCCAGGCCTGGGCTATCTGTGGAGGCAAAGTTGAGACTGGGCTTGGGTGACCCCCAAGCTTTTGTGTACTATGTGTTTAGAACAGGACTACAGCAGGGACAGGGACTCTAGCCAGCTCCTCCATGACA